GATTCAAATAAGATACAGATAAGCAAAAATCATGCAACAAAATTCCAAGTGACATTAATTTGGTGAAAGAAAAAAAGTATTCTCTGCTTTGGCTGGACTGAGTGTAATATGTGCATTAATGGAGAAAAAGACTACTCACTTTTTCACACACACACACTCAGAATCTTGGAAAGTTGAATAAAATTTCAGGGACTTGTGTTTAGGTATTTATGAAGTCTTTTACACCTAACTAGGTAAAAAGGGAGGGAAAGAAAAATATGAGAAAAAATGAGGGTATTTGAGAAAATATATAAATTTTAAAGATTGTAAACAAATTATGTTATGAGCTGGCCTAACCGTTAAGTGGGTCATGGGCCAAACTCGACTCACGTAGATGGAGCGACCTATTGATAGGTAATTGATTCGAACGTCATTTTTCTTTTAACAAAATGCATAATTTTGCTATAAAATATCATTATTTAAAAATATGACATCTTAATTAGAAATTATACATATCTATTGAAAATTAGTTATAAATTTNAAAAAGGTCTGTCTACCAACAATCTTATTGAAAAAAATTAATATTTGTTACTCTCTCCCGATTTCTTGAAAAAATTTAGGAATTTAATTCTTGTCACGTGACATTAAATCAACTAAAACTTGAACATTAGTAGAACTAATTATATTTCTTAAATAAACGAGTAAATAATGTCACATTTAAGAAAATTATAAAACACTTTTGATGCTTTATTCATTTTAAATGTGTTGAGAATTAAATATTTTAGATAATTTAGTTTTTACGCGGACAATTGACTTCACCTAACATCTAATCGAGAAAATTAATTTTAATAATGATTCACCGTACATTGCATTAGATATGCACTAATATTTTTTAAATAAATATGTAAATTTCATATTAAAATGTCACATTTGAAAAATAAAAAATAAAATTGTTACATATTATCAAATAAGTATATATTTTATATCTAAATATGTATATATATATATATGTATGTATAATGGATCGACCTTGTTTTAAGTTGTTGTGGGCACAACTTTTGTTTTGTTATATGCTGAAAGGCTTTGAAAAATACTCAATTCTCTCATTTTATCCATGCACACATGCGGCAAAAGGGGTGGGACTAGAAATTTTGAAACGGTGATTAAAATTTGTTTTGACTATGCCACTTTTTCTCATAAAGCCTTTTGCCAACTTTGTATTGCCTTTTATGCAATTGCAATGTTAAGATCATTCTTTTTTTTTTTTCCCTGCATGAAAAGAAGCAAAATTAGATGGGGAGCCTTTTATTTTTCATTAATTGAGGATGGAATTTGAGAATTGGGCATTTCATTCTTGAACTTCACTTAGCCTAAGGAGAAAAGGAAAATTTGCAATTTGTACTATTCCGCGTTTACGGATTTTGCAAATGAATGTCTTTTTAAAAAATAAAATAAAATGTAACATGAAGTTCACGAAATATCAAAATCTACAGTCTCGAATGCATGTTGACTATACACGTGTGTGGTTTTTCGAACAANGGCCTAATTCATTATTATGAAAGAAAAACTGGAATAGTAGAGGAACTCACGCGAAATTATATTTGGGGAGAACAAGTTCTATGCTACATTTTTTCCTCATCACTTCGTATTACATCCTATAAGATTAATAAAATATTTAAATTAAAAATGTTGGTAAATTATAACATAAATTTGTGTGACTGTGTCTATCAAACATACAACCCATGCTTAGGTTGCAATTTGCCAATATACCAACCAATGTGAAGATGCAAATGCGAATTCTATACTTAATATAATCTTTTTAATTTTTCCATGTTCCAAATCAATTATTGAGGTATCAATAAATATAAAAACAAAACAAAATGCATTGAAATCGAGGTGACCAATCATGCCATGCATGGTAGCAAAAAGTCGTGGAAACATTTCTCATGTGCCATTTAGCTTTACCTCAAAAGGGCTGAAAGATGGAGGTCAAAACAAAAAGGCCAACAAAGAGAATTAATTGGTTTGAAATTAATAATATGATGACTGAATGATCTTTGTACATTTTGCATGGTCTATTTCTGTTCTCTTATATTTACAAGCAACATTTGTGCTTTACAGCTCACCTCAATTTACATATAATTTGGAGAAAAAAAAAAAAAAAATGAACTTTTTTGTAATGGGATTGGGACCATTTTGCCTATTGACTAAAAAGTTGTGTATTTCTACTAAAAGAAGTTCATTTTTGTGATAATTCTATTTCTAGGGCTTCTCAAAATTATTGATTTTAAGACTATTTCCTCAATTATAGTATATCTAATTATATCAATGTAAACATTGTCTAACTATCAATATTGTTCTAGTGAATTAATTATCATCAGTTTCCCAAAGAATCTTATACAGACATGCTAACAGACCAATTAAACACATTAATTTAACTAATCAGTTTCCAGTAAATGACATAGACTTGCAAACTCCCAAGCCATAGAAAATGGTGTTCATTAATATTCTCGAAAGGTTAAACAGGATAAAACGTTAAAAAAAACCTTAGTTTTGATGCCTGCCATTAATGATGTCTATGTATATGTTGACAAAGTGTAATCTTGGAGTGATTGTTAGATGATTAAAATAATCAAATGTAATAATAATTTCTCATCATCTTATAGTATATGCATTTGAAGTCACGTTACTACAGAAATTATGATCCTAACCGTATGATGAATATATATTTTATATTTTTTTTAATCTAGCCTTTGACAAGGTCAATGGTCAAATTGGGACATCTTAATTAAAGATTCTAAATCAGTTTATCCAAGAAAATTAAGTCAAGCAGAATCTTTACTCCTAATTATGATCACTGAACATTGTTGTAAAATAATCCCACTTTTCTCACTAATAAATTCAAGAGTTCTCTTCAGAATGAAAAAAATAGGGAGAAAGGAAGAAAACCCAGGAAAGACACAAAAGTGTACTTTTCCAAGACATTAAAAAAAAAAAAAGAAAAAAAAAGGGAAAAACGGGTAGTAAATGGACAACATATGCAGATTGCCTGAGGTTATGCCTGAAATCTGCAATGTGTGACACAATTATCTCTAACAATTGTAACATTTACCTGTTGCATTCAAATAACTATAGTTTGGTAGGATGAACTTTATAAAAATGGTCGAGCTCATTTCAAATGATTTTCTATCAAGATTTTTTTTTTTCTTTTTCAGGTGTTGATTTTATCATACATTTTTATTATATCATCTAGCATTCCACATATCATTCATAAGTTATCAGTTATCAACTCAAAATCAACCTATGAACTATTAGCTAACGTTTCAACTAGATTTACCAAATATACCCTTAACAGACAATATAATATGAAGCCATAAAAGCATTCGTATATATAATAGTTTTTGCTATTCCTGTTACCCTAATATGTATGTAATTACTATTATTCAAGTAATCCTATTATATGTTCAATATTTCGCTATTCCTGTTACCCTAACATGTATGTAATTACTATTATTCAAGTAATCCTAGTATATGTTCAATATTTTTCTTGTACAATGTATTATTTTTGAATATATATGTTCAATATTCAAGTAATCCCACCCAAAGGAAGGTCTGAGTACCTTACAATTACATGCAATTGTAATCTGTAAATACAACAAGCAAAATTCATTTTCGTTACACGGATCAAATACATTAATGTTGCTTCCTTTAGTCAGCCAGACCTAAAACATGTGGTGTGTCATATAAGATTAGAGGTAACACGGAAGCAAGTTTTGATTTTGCTTACATGGGAATCACAATGCAAAATGGAGTTTGTTTATGCCACTTGCAGTAATTCTTCACGTTTGATGTCGAAGACCTTTGCAAGAACATCTTCAACGACCTGGAGAGTGTGTACAAAACAAATAAAAGAGAAAAAAAAAAGAAGATTTAATTAGTTCTGCGTATGTTTCAAATGTATTTATTCGGGAGTGAGTGTGAGATCATAGAATTCACTCATAGTATAGCATCTATGCGTTTCGACATGCAAGCAATGACATTTTTTTTTTTATTTTTTTTTTTGCATTATGATACTGTAACATTTAGAAGACTTTTCTCTTTTCTTAAAAATGATTGCTAGATAAAATTACAATTGAGAATTTGGCCGAATAACAAATTTTTTTGGCAATTGTTAGGGCGCCGTATTTTTGTAACCATTCCTACCTAAAATATATATTGAGTTGAACAACCGTGAAAATACACACACACAAACACACACACACACACACACATATATATATATATATATATATATGAAGCAGAATAACCTTATCGGGTGTAGATGCACCAGAAGTAATACCGATTCTGATAGGACCCTCGGGCAGCCAGTTTTCTTTCTCGGCCAACTCACCATGCTGTGCACGGAATATAGACAGCAAATGATGAAATGAATGTCACACAAAACCAGAGAAAATTGTAATGTACAATAATAATGATTACTTAGGAATATACCATCAACTTGTAAGCAATTTTATTTCCAGGGCCTATTCTTTTCTCACTGTCAACCCAATATGAAGGAATCCCGCGTTCCTCTGCGATTTCTTGCAAATGTGAAGTGTTGCTTGAGTTCCAACCGCCAACAACTAGCATGAGATCTAGTTTTTCTTCAACCAGTTTATACATGGCATCTTGTCGTTCCTAAATACAGTCGGTAAGGGTGTGATTGGATGTAAACTTAACAAAAAAAAAAATAAAAAAATTTAAATTTAACTCAACTTTAACCCCAACCCCACTATCCTGATAAGTATAATTAAATAATATCAACCAAACATTCTTACATTTAATTCACTATTCATTCACTCACATAATTTTAACTAATCATCACTTACAATAATTATTCTCCTACTTTTGCATCAAATCAACTTTAATTATTTTAATTTAAACTTAAATTTTCCAATGACAACTAACCATACCACCATTTTCAATATTAACTATGGTTAACAAAAAAACCAAATCCATATCCAATCATACCTTAAATGAGGCACAAACAATTCTGGAACAGGATAACAAATAGGAAACAATATTGACAAGGGAAACTTCAAGAAAGAGACAGTTAAAGTAACTACCCGTCAGGTTTAGCTTAACTGAAATTATAGAAAAGAAAAGAAAAAGAAAAATCACCCACTCAAGTTACATATTCACAATCATACTCTATCAGTGTCAATTGAAAGCACCGGTTGAGGTATGAGTTTACCTAACAAGTTCTTGGATGGAAATTAGTAAAAGAGAAACAACTGTGTTATAGGTGCAAAGAATTTGATTTTTAGTTTCTGAAACAGTGATATTGAAATAAAATATGGCAGCACAATTTAAGAAACTGAATGAGGCTGGGAGGAAGATTTTTACTTGAGTTGCATCGCATATAGTGTTGAAACTTATGAAGTGGCTGTTGATATTTTCGACTCCAAACTTTTGCATCATGGTTCTTTCAACTAATTTTCCTGCAGAATATAAAGTCATTTATTAAACAAGTTATGTGTATTGTGAATACGAACAGAAAGCTGTTGTGAGATGCTAACTTACCAATTTCCTCAGTTTCCCCCTTTAACATTGTTGTTTGATTTGCAATACCAACTTTCTCAAGATCTTTCTCTGGATCAAATCCATCGGACACTGCATATTTGAATTTCTGCAGACGAACATTTATCAAGTCCCAGCATAAGATGACTACAAAACCAACTTGAAAAATTGTATCTGCTAGGGGAAACCCGAAACCAGGGTATTATGTAATTACATATTTTGCCTGCAATACCAGTTTGCCATATTTAGAAAAATGCAATGCTTTACTGAACCGTTAAAGTTGGAAAGCAGATAAAATAAACTAACTTGCCTCTTTCATGTTTTTTACAATGATATACTTCCCTGCAAAAGAGGCAGTAGCCACAGTCTCTTCATGAGAATATTTACCATGGATTATTGAAGTATATTCTCCCTTCTTGTGCTTCTCGACAGTATTCCAGACCTTTTATACAAGAGCTTTTATCCGTTAGCATGTGGGGTGGAAAATAATACCTCTTAAAGGCATTTGGGGTGGAAAATAGTACCTTAGATACCCATGGGCAAGTTGTATCAACTATTTGGACATTCTTTTCACTCAAAACCAACATCTCATCCACAGCAGCTCCAAAAGCAGGCAACACGACAACATCGCCCTTGTCGACAACATCAAATTGTTTCTTGCCGTTCTCTAAAGGTATATTTTTCACTTCCATCTCTTCAAGCCTCTAATTATAGAAAACATATTATCATAATCAAACTACAGAAATTTAGGGTGTGTTTGTTTATAAATAAACTCAATTCGTACTCAAAATATAACTCAACTTTTAACTCAACTCCACTATCGTCAATATTATCAATATATTTAAATAATACCAATCAATCATTCTTACACATCACATCAACTTTAATTCATATTCATTCACTCGCATAATTTTAACTAACCATCATTTCACACTATCTCTCTCCTACTTTTACATCAAATGACTTTAATTGTTTTATTTTAAATATTATTTTAATATAAACTCAAAATACCATTAACAACTAACTATACCACTTTTTTTCAAAATTAATTCTGAATAACGAAAAAAAAAAACGTTTTGAATGGATATATTTGTATCCAAGAACGCCCGTAGCATTTCCTTGTCTTCCCATCGTCCATTATAGCAAAATGAAATTGAGATTTGAAGCGAAATATATTTTAATAAGATTGGAGTGAAGTTAAGATACCTGATTAACAGTGGGGTTGTGAATGATTTCATTAGTGATCCAAATCTTCTCAGTCGGGAATTGTTTTCTGGCTTCATAAGCAATCTGAACAGCACGCTCTACGCCCCAGCAGAAACCATAAGATTCAGCAAGCTTAACAGTGACATTTCCCCATGTGTATTCGAATCCGTTCTCCTTCAATTTCTTTATAATGTCACCTGGAAATTCCACAAACACAAGCAGAATTGAAAAACATACAATAAGGTAATATATGTATATACCACACAAACACACACACACACAGGTAAGTATGTCAAATCTTGAAAAGGTAGGATGACCAAATGTGTACCCTGTAAAATGATAATTTTCACGAATAATGCCCTTAGCAACTATCCAGGGGCGGATTTACACTATGGCCAGAATAATGCCCTTAGCAATTATCCAGTGGCGGATTTACACTATGGCCAGCCTGGGCAATTGCCAGAGCTGGATTTTTGCTGCTAAATATACAACAACAACAACATAGCCTTTAGTCCCAAGCAAGTCGGGGTAGGCTAGAGATGAAACCCAAGAGAAACACAAAAAGACTCGAACCGAAAGGAAGAGATCGAAAAAAAAAAAAAAAAAAACAAAAAAAAAAGAGAGAGAGAGAGAGAAAGGAGCAAAAGTCGCGGTTCTGGCACGAGCCTCCAAGCGCTCCTATCCAACGCTAAATTCTTGGAGATATTCCAATTTTTAAGGTCTCTCTTAACCGACTCTTCCCAAGTGAGTTTAGGCCGACCTCTACCTCTCTTAACATCCTCGACCCGCTGTAGAACTCCCCTACGCACCGGTGCATCAGGAAGCCTCCATTATATATGTAGTTATAATTTCCCAATAAATATTTAGGAAGAAAAGACGAAGTCGAAGAATTGCGAGACATAATAGAAACAATTTTAAGTGTTTTTTTAATAATCTATATAAAATGAATTGAACATTATCTCTATGTTCTCTTCTATAATTAAATTATTGAAATGATAATCAAGGATGTGGCTATTGCTAACCAAAAAGGACAATGTAATTTGTTGCTTGTGCACATACACTTCTTTAATTTCATATTTTATCTTCTTCTAATGTTACAAATTTTAGATGTAAGGAATGAGTTATCACTAGAATTATATATAGGAATGATCAAGATATTGTCAATGCTATGGATTTGGTCAGGCAAGTAAGGTCGTGCTTGTTTATAAAAAAAAAATTAGAAAAAAATTACTTTTTTCGTTAACTAGAGTTTATTTGAAAAATGTTAGTAGGATAAAATTTTAGTGAGAATTTAAGAATGTATTAAAATAATATTTAAAATAAAATGATTAAAATTGATTCGATGTAAAGGTAGGAGATAAATAATTGAAAATGATAGGTAGTTAATTATGTGAATGGATGAATAGTGAATTAAAGTTGATGTAATGTGTAAGAATGATTGAATAATATTATCTAATTATATTGATAATATTGAGAATAATGAGTTGAGTTAAAGTTGAGTTAACTTTAGAATTGAGAATAATGAGTTGAGTTAAAGTTGAGTTGAGTGGATGAATAGTGAATTAAAGTCGAGTATTTTATTTATATTGCCCTGGCTGCTGCAATCATCCATGTTAGGATACTACGCTCTTCTGCAAATTTGTACAGAAGCTGAAGTCTAAAACACGCGCGCGCGCACACACACACATATGGTCGAATTAAGTTTTAATTGATTCAAAAATTGAATCAATAAGTCTGAAACACAAAATGTACTCGAGTTAAATTGATAATATTGAGAATAATGAGTTGAGTTAAAGTTGAGTTGAGTGGATGAATAATGAATTAAAATCGAGTATTTTATTTATATTGCCCTGGCTGCTGCAATTATCCATGTTAGGATACTACGCTCGTCTGCAAATTTGTACAGAAGCTGAAGTCTGAAACACGCGCGCGCGCACACACACACAGATGGTCGAATTAAGTTTTAATTGATTCAAAAATTGAATCAATAAGTCTGAAACACTGTAGTGTTCTTCAAAACAATTAGATAATACAACAAAATTTAGAACAATAAAAATCAGAAACAACGGATGAACCCGAAATGATAAGCAAAAACAGTCTTAATCAAGCAGCTGTCAGAAGCATATCTCGATTCAAGTCAATCCTAAAAGTTTAAATAGCAGCTATTAAGCAAGAAATCTTCTAGGCAACTGATGTTTTCCGACTGAACAAAAATTAATTCCGGGGAAAGGAATAGTTAGCTTCCGATGCAGAGGAAAAATAAACTGACTGCAATAAAGTTCTTTCGGAAGCTCTTAACAATCCAATCTCACAACAAATTAATAGGGCGAAAAAAAAAAAGATAAAAGGCAAAATCACGAGAAATTCAGCTAGACGTACTCGTATACTCCTGGCTCATCTGCTCAAGAGTCTCCTTCTTATGACCAAATCCCTTCCGGTTGTAGTTCTTGCTCCTCGTCAAGTTGTGACGGAAAACCTTCGCGTCGAACTCGGACGAGTCGACCGTGGCGGAGGACGACGGAGCAGCTTCTCCGGCAGAGCATCGGACGGAGGATGGCTTCCGGTGCCGCAATATTCTCGCCTCCGGCACGCATAGGTCCGTACGAGCCGAGATGCGGCAGAACTGCAGGGAGATCGCCATCGCTAAGCGTGCAGGTTAGCAAGAGATGGTTCTGGAGCTTGGAGTGGACAACTGTTGACCGGTTGCGGTTTTAGATTTGCTAAAATGAGCCAGAGCGTATTATTATATCTGGGCTTTCCCTGCGCACGTGATCCATGAATTGCATTTGTTTATTGTTTGGATTATATCATTTGCACCTATTTGCTGTCTAAAGTCTAAACTTTACTGAATTAACAAAACTGGCCTTGATAATGTTGGCACCTAATTTCTCCAAAAAGTGTTTGAAATATATTGTACCCAATGCTAATATTGCTTATTGGGTAGCAATGCAATATAAATATACACAAAATATTGAAAAGATACATAATATAGTACTGTGTCAAAGTTGTTCTATCAATACAAAACAATATATATATGTCTACAAATAAATAAGAAAACTTATTTATTATCTCAAAAAATTAAAATTGAAATTGTCGTTTTTATTGAAAATTTAAGACTTAATAAATATAGTTTGATACAACATATAAAGATAGTTTGGTTGGACCGGTCGTGATCAGTTCGGATTATAGACCGAAGATAAGCTAGGCTAGTTGGTTTAGAAGTAATAAGAGTATAGGTAGCTCGGATAACTAAAGAGTATTTATAGCTTGTCATATAGGTAGCTCGGATAACTAAGCAGTATCTATAGCTTGGCATATAGGGAGCTCGGATAACACAGTAATGTCTGTAGTTCGACATACAGGGAGCTCGGACAACACAGGAACACAAATATATTTGTAGCTCAAACATATAGTAGCTCGGTAAATGGCTTGAGTAGGAAGCATCCTGCACAGTAGGTTGAGTCCAGGCTATCGAACGAATGTAGTTCAAACTACAGGTAGCCTAGTAATCGACGAGTAGCCCTTTTGGGCAAATAGAGCAGTCGGGTAGGCCTTCGGGCAAGCCGGGCAGAAGAACAAAGGCTTGTTCATGAAGCTAATAATCTTCTATAAATAGGTAAAATTGAGAAAAGCTAAAGGTTAATCACACTTTATACACTCTAAGTTTACGGTATATTTCCATACAATTTTTCATATCACCTTATTGACTTGATCGTCAGATATTTTCACGCCGAAAATATCTTCCGACGTCTTTGCAGGTATCCAGAGAGCAAAACGTTCGATGGATCTTGGAGAAATGGGTTGAGCTACATTTGATGTTAAATTTAAATATATATTATTATATGGTACAGGATAATACCCACTACAAGAAAAATTCCCATAGCTTATGTTGTAGAATGGAAATCAACACTAAATTATTTTATTGGAATTGTATTTCTCTTGAAATTTTAAGTTGGAATTTGATGAATTGTAGCTATTTTGCCAACCGTTTATTGTTGTAGGAAATTTGGTTGAAATGTGCAATTTCCAACGGATTTTTTTTTTTCACTTATTTAAACCGCCGTTGGAATTTATTGGAAAGTTAATGGAAATATAACACTAGAATATTCATTGAAGCATTAGAACTTTATTGAAAAGTATTTTCTCGTTAGCATTTCATCATCTTCTTATAGTAAATTATTATTATTTTTTTGGGATGGGGGGTGAGGTTCTATGTACTAGAAACATAATGAGAAACTAGTTTATATAATAAAAGTATTTTGTAAAATTAACTTATAGTTTTTAAGTGATTTTTTAGCTTATAGTTGATATCTTGTGATTTACTGAAAAGCTAGCTTATATGATAATATTTTTTGGTAAAATTAGATGACAAGCTAGCACAAATAAAATTTTCAATGAACTTGTTTAAAAAGCTACCCAAGCAACTTATGAGATAAACTCGAACTTTTTAAGAAAGCTCGTTCTACCAAACCAAACTTAATTGGATACAGGAAACTTATAAACCAATCAAATAAATTATAAGCTATCTTATATGTTTACCGAACATACCCAAAATCAAAACCTATACATACACACATATAATTCCGCGTTCAATTTTATCGCGCAACAAGAACTCACGAGTCACTGAGTCACGTCTCAGCACACACAAACACATGAACCGTAACCAAGTTCCGACTAAAATATGTACTACATCAACTAATAAGAAGCAACCTTCACACAAGTATTAAGTGCAGAATTAAAAATATCCCCAGAAAAAGGAATAAAAACTTCCAGGCAATCGGTTTCCACTCAATAGGAACCGAGTGATAGTTATGAAAGCCTTGAACGTAACCTCCACGAAATGTACTCGAGAACACATATGGCGCCCCTGAAGTCGAGCCATAAAAATTAGCGTCGTGAAAAGCACTATTCACCTGCAATGGCATATTTCAAATCATTGTTGTTATAACTATTTCGTAAAGTGAATTCACAACAAAAACTAAAGAAAAATGTGTACATAACTGATGTAGGGAAAGCGTACGAGTGGGAAAGATAAACGAAAAACTCACAATCAATTCATATTCTTATTCAATAATCAACCAACGAAAATAAACTAGAAGGAGTCCTTTATATAAGGCCCTTAATCCTAAACCTAACTTGATCACCAAGAAAGCTACTAAATATTTAAATGCTAAAATAATAATAATAGTAATAATATTAATAATCATAATTATTCTGCACCAATAACTCTTGAAATTTAACTTTAGTAGGATAATAAAATTAGTCACCTGGAGGTTAAAAATAGTCGGTAGGGCACCGAGAATAGTCAAGAGAGTCGTGTGACCAAACTGTACAGCCTCCATCGGCATAACTCCGGAGATGGGGTCCACGTCATTCGACGTGGCAAAACTATTCCTATCGACACGTGGCGCTGTTTGAGGCCTCTGCCCCATTGGCCTGTTCGGGATCTCGACTCTCGGGTAGGATATGGGTCTCGGGTCCCAGCTCGATTTGCCCCGGCCGAAAATGGGAACTAATTTCCCTTCTTGCACGATGGCCTTGCAGACGGGACATTCGTGATAGTGCGAATGGAGATGGAGCCATTGGTAGAGGCAAGGCCAACAGTACAAGTGTCCGCAAAGGGTCACGATTGGCTCTTGGGCAAGCTCGAAACATATGTGGCATTCGAAGCAACCCGTGTCGAGTGGTGTGTAATCGGCTAAAGAATAAGTGTCGTTGAGTGACGGGCACATCTCGTCGCAATCCATATGTACACTACGAGGAGATTCAAACCTTTTCATTCACAAAAAACGAGCGATGAACACAAATTCTTGATACAGCAAACGAGTCGAGTCGAGCATGGACCTTCGAGTAGAGACCGAACCTTTTTTTTCTTCAGCTAGAGCTCGACGAGCCATATAAAATGGCGCTCGACTCGACTCGACTCATAAAAAAAATTAAGAATGTTTGAGCTTGACTCGAGCTCGAGTTCGGCTCGAAATTTTAACAACTAAATTTTAAATATAAGGGTATTATTTTTAACCTAAACAGACAATTTTGGCCTTGTGCTCCAATATTGATAATAGGGTATTTATATAAATAAAAAGTCAGAGCGTCTCGTCGAGCTTACGAGCCTCTTGAAATGATGCTTGAGGCTCGACTCGTTGAACTGCTCGAGCTCGACTCGAGTGCTCGCGAGTGAGCTGCTCGACTCGTTTGCAGCCCTCATACGACCCTCATACAGCTTAATTGTCAAGAGGGTCAAACGGGTTGAGTCTAACGGTTAGACAGCTTAATAGCAACATTTGAGGGTCGTGAAGTAGGAAAAACTTTTGGCCTCCAAAAAGGACATGCATCAAGCAAGACAACCAGAGCAATGAAAAAGATTCAATTTTTACTTATCAAGTAAGTGACTGTAAAGATTAAATTCATGAAATATTCAACTAAATAGAAAAGAAAAGAAAAGAAAATTAAAGCAGGCTCACTAATATACTCCATTCTCATATGGATATGATAATCAAATTTATCTAAATAATTTCACTTTAATCTATTTTGTTTTCTGTAGCACTCCTTCCGCATTATACATAAATCCGATTAGTAAAACTCCATAAATTCAGAAATTACCCAAAAACAAACATAACGATCGAGCAAGCACGATGGCGAATACTACACCTATTCCAAAATCAAATTAGAAAATTGAAATACGGAGAAAAAAGCACAGGAAAATACGATAATGTTGAGGCGAAATTCCGTACTTGGGGTAGAAAAAACAGATGCGGAACAGATATCGGGCACCATAAACAGAAAAATAATAAAAAAATAACGAAAATTAGGCGATTTCACAATGCATTTTCACGAAATTTAGAAAGGAAATTGCGACGGAAATCTAACCTCGTGCAATGCCAAACAGATTGGGTTGGGTGAGTTAGGAAAACATTAATTAAGATTTAAGAAAAAACAAAAGGAGGGTAGACGATAGAGTCGTGAATAGTGAATAGAGAACAGAGACGACGTGAACATGTGGGATTGTCTATAAATTGTTTTGGTAAAAAAAAATGGGGAAATTGCACAAAATCCCCCTGTGTTTTCATAAATGTGCGCGTTATCCCCCTGTGTTATATAAAATGCATACTATCCCATCATGTTTTAGTGTCGACGGCTCACGCTCCCCTTTTTGTCCCTGGGTGCAAACACCGTTAGTTATTTTACAAACTTCCCGTTATGTCCCTTGGTTTAGAACAGTCGTCTCACATTCACACCCACTGCTACAGATTGAACGGAAAACCCCAAAGTCGAAAAATCTCAACAACGAAAATCACAAATTTCAAACAAATGTACTAAATCGACGAAGAACTTCTGTCAATCTCACGTCGATGGCGACTTCTTAATATCTTTCAATATGGTCGAAGAAGAATTGATTCATTATTTTCAGTCCGCGACAAATTAGGATTCTCATTCTTGTTGTCGATCTCATATACTAAGGTATTTTCACGTTGCCTTTCTTCCAATGTTTTAATAGATTGTTTATGTATGGTTGAACCTTCAAAGCTTGTTTGTTGAATGCATATATGAGATTAGGGTTTGCAGTGTTCTGTTTATTTCGTAATCTTTGCTTGTCATACAAATTAGGGTTGTTTATGTTAATGGTCCTTATGTGAAATGCAAATGAGATTAGGGTTTGCAGTGTTCTACTTATTTTCTAATCTTTGCTTGTCATACAAATTAGGGTTGTGCTTTGTATATAGTGTGCTTTGTATATGTTAATTGAATTGAACCAACAATATATAGTGTGCTTTGTATATATTGTGGTCCCTTTTGTTTTAATTTACATACTCCATTACATTAACCAATTAAATTGATCATTTTATTCTTGTTTTTATGCAGGATGACAGCCTGTTTTGATGTTAGAGTTGGGGGAGAGATAAAATGGGAGCCTTTTCGGCACTATTTTGGGGGACAGAGGGTTGCAGTTCAATGGGATGATGTGGACAAGTTGTCCTTCTTTGAAATCATGGATATCTACAGGCAAGCTGGTGGCAAATCATCAACTGTGGAAATTCATTCACATAAGCCTGGGAAGACCCTACAGACAGCAAAGAAGCTCATGAAGATAGACTCTGATAAGGATATCATAGAGTTGGTGAAGAAATATGAAGGGGTTTATGTCATTCCACTATACTTCGAGGATTTACCTGGACCTATACAACAGATGGACATTGATGGGAACATCATTACTTCACAAGAAGAGATACCTCTTCTTGAGTATCCCCACACTCAAGAGAGCTTTATAGCGGAGTTGTATGATGACCAACAACCATCACACATGGAGTTTGATGAGGATGGTTCCCAATTTCATGAGGCTAATGAAGAAACTACAGAAGCCATAGCAGAAGAGGTATCTAGGGGTGAACCTGAAGGCCAGAATAATGATGTACCTTATGAAGATGGAGTACAACATGGTGACAGCCAAGAACATGAAATGCCTCTTCAGTTTGAAGCACAACATGAACAATGTGAATCACATGGTGGCCAAGAACCTGAGATACCACATGAGACTGCACAACAGGGAGAATGTGAATCACATGATGAGGATGAAGGACACCAAAGCGAGGAGGATGATGATTCAGATGATGAAATGTATGTACCTGACCAAAGTAGTGATGATATGTCATCTGAATTGTCTGAATGGGAGCTGGAAGATCTAGAAGGACCTGAAGATGATGATATATTCCAGCACAGGGATCCTGATCATGCTAAGAAAGTTCACAAGATGGCTAGAGAATGGATGAAACAGAGAAGAAAGAAGAAAAAAGCAGCAAGAGAAGAAGCTGAAAATAAGAAAAAGTGTAATGAATATGATTGGTACAGTGATGTTGAAGATGATGAGCAGTTGTCTCAAATGGATGATGAATGGAATGATGGCATGAGTACGACAAGTTTTGAGTTGAAGGTTGGTATGAAATTCCCTACCAGAACCAAATTCAAGGATGTTCTTAAAGACTGGTCTGTCAGAAAGGGTTATGATTTGAAATTTCCAAAGAATGAAGCTAAGCTCATCACAGCAAAGTGCAAAAGTGGGTGTGACTGGAATTTGAGGGCCTCAGTCATAGCTGATATGTCAACATTTCAGATCAAGACCCTGAAAGGCACACATTCATGTGCCTATAGGACAGAAAACAAACAAGCAGATTACAAGTATTTGGGGAGAAGGATGATGGACACATTGAGAGACAATCCTGGTGAGCCACTTCGAAGTCTGAGAAACAAAATTAAGAGAGATTGTGGAGTTGATATAAGCATTCATAAGGTGTACAGAGTTAGAGCTTATGGTTTGTCATTGTTGAAGGTTGACATTGGGGAGCAATTTAGGAGACTGTATGACTACTGTTCCACTGTAGTCAAATACAACCCTGGTAGTAGCCTTATCCTAAAGCTCAACCATGACTTCACACCTCCAAAGTTTGTGAGGATGTATGTTTGCTTTAGTGCAATGAGGCAGGCCTTTGTGACTGGATGCAGGCCCATTATAGGGCTTGATGGATGTTTTCTGAAGACTCTACATGGTGGTCAACTTCTATCAGCTGTTGGTAGAGATGGCAATGACAACATGCTGCCGATTGCAATGGCCTATGTGGAAGTTGAGAAGGTGGACTCTTGGACTTGGTTCATTCAGAAGCTGTTAAGAGATATAGACCCATACCTAGAGAAGAAGTGGACCTTTGTTTCAGATAGACAGAAAGGTTTGATTGATGCTGTTGGTAAAATCCAAGGGGCAGAACACAGGTATTGCTTGAAACACATGTACAATAATTTCAAGCAGAAATGGGGTGATTTGGAATTAAGAAAGTGGTTTTGGAAGGCAGCCAGCACATACAGTGTGAGAGAACACATTAGGTGCATGAAAGAAATCCAAAGGTTTGTCCCTAAGAAAGATGGCAAAGTGACTCCATTTGAGTGGCTCAAGGCTATCCCTGAAGAACACTGGGCAAGGTGTTCTTTCACTCCAAATGCAATGTGTGATGTAATTGTGAATAATCTATCAGAGTCTTTCAACAGTTACATTTTGGAAGCTAGGGATATGCCTATCATAGACATGTTTGAGTGGATAAGAAGAAGAATGATGGAAAGGATGCAGGTGAAGAGAACTGGTATTGAAAAATATGCAGAGGATATATGTCCAAACACAGTAAGAAAAATTGAAGAGCAAAGGATTTTAAGCAGAAATTGTTTCCCAACTTGGGGTGGAGAAGATAAGTATGAGGTGGTGCATGGGGTTCAGAGTCATGTTGTGCAATTGAATGCTAGAAGTTGCACCTGTGGCATGTTTCAGTTGGTTGGGTATCCCTGTTGCCATGCATTAGCATGCATCTCATATCACAGGTTTACTCTTTCCAACTATGTGTCTGATTTTTTCAAAAAGGAGATGTATGTCAGAGTGTATAGTCATATGATCAACCCTGTTCCAGGGATGAATGACTTTGAAGATTCTGGAATGGGCCAAGTTCAACCACCTGATCCTGTGAAAAAAAGAGGTAGGCCAACAAAGAAAAGGAGGGCTGATGGTAATGACATGAAGACCATGAGAGGAAGTGCCAGCAGAAAGGGTCATCTTAAGACCTGCCAATTGTGTGGGGAGAAGAATCACAACAAGAGGAGCTGCAGGAAAAGGGCTAGGGAAAATTCTGGTGCACCTGAACAGGTAAATTTATTATTTTCCATAATTTATGCATTCAGCTTCACAAAATTCTTAAGAGCTTCACATAATTTATTGCTAAATATTGTTTTTAACTTCCATGAATATTGCAGCAACATCCATCTCAGCCTACTACTGATCCTGTTGAAGACTTTTTCCACAACACTGGCCCTCAAAGCTCCACTCAACAAAGCATCTAGTGCCTACCAGCTCAAGGTGTGTTGAAATGGACCTTTCATTGTTTTTTTGTCATAAGGGCATTGTTTTCCAAAATCTGAACCACTTATTTTGTCTCTTAAGCATATTGGTTAGTTATTTTGTGTAAGTTGAAGGTGGTATGGTGGTACATTTATGACCAGTTATTTTGTATATGCTATTGATGTTGGTTGTAGGCCATTGGTGTTTGCACTTTTGTGTAAGTTGTAGGCCATTAGTGTTGGCATTAGTGCATATTTTGGCTGGTTGTTATTTTGTAAGCATGTTGCAACAAGGCTGTTTTGGTTGGTATTTATAATATGTTGGTATTTATCTTGTTATAAGTCTGTTTTGGCCTATATGTTTTGTTTATTAATGCAGATAGTATATTGGTAAATATGTTGTTGTTTATTAATGCAGATTGTACTATATTGGTATTTATGGTGCTACAAATCTATTTTGTAGCTTTGTTTTGCATTTATGTTGTTGGCCAGGATATGTTTTGCATTCAACTAATGTTCATTTTGTTCATTCTAATCTTGAATTTCATACAAAATAAAGGCTTACATTATCAAGCATTACATTCTACAATTACTTGAGCATGATAACCGCTACAAGGATTACAATTACAAGAAAAATCACTCCATTGTTAAATCTTTTTTCCAATTTCTCCATCCTTGAATGCATCTCCTTTAGCATTGACATGACTTCAGCATTTTCATGTGCTAATGTTGCTCCAGTTGATTGAACTTCATCATCATCTTCACAATAATCTTCATTTTCATGAGCACACGGCTTCACCCAATTCACTGTTGTCGGTTTAAACCAAGCAAAAAACGTACATTTGTTGTTCGGACAATTGCAAAATAGCTTTCCAACCGTTCTTTTTGTAGGACCAACTACCCTGATTTGTGCACACACATTGCAGTAACACTTTAGGTACCTGTATCGTAAATCCAAGCTTTCAATCTTCTCCATCTTCGATTTTTGGGACATTTTTCAGCCTGCAAATTTTAAAGTATGAAATATTTAGGGTTTATGGTGCATTTCCTGTATTTGGATCCCTACAATCTGGGCAAAACAGGAAAGCAGTAGAAGTTTGTGCAAGAAAAAAAAAACTGAAGGTTGTGAAAAAAAAAGTTGAAAGCTGCGGAAAAAAAAAATGGCAAACATACCTGTTTTTTTGCTCCCAGGTGGTAGAGGAATTTGTGAGGAAGAAGAAGATATAAGGCAGGCATATTTAAAGAGACTCAGTAAGGGTAAAAGTGACTTTTTGTAAACAATAACGGTCAAAAAGTATCCACACACTTGCTCATTCAGCGCGTTTCATACACACGCGTTAACTCAAACGGTCGGGGGGAATTCGCGCAAACGGCAGTAAAACTTAAGGGGGTATGGTGCATTTTTTAAAACACGGGGTAAAAGCGCGCACATTTAGTTAAATACAGGGGGGCGCGGCGTATTTTACCCAAAAAAAAATTGTTTATGGAAATATTGAACTGAAATTGGAAAAATAAAATTTGGGTGTAAGAATGAAATATGTACTGGGATGGTGGTGTAAAATTATCGAATTAAACTTCATTTAGAGATTTCACATGTTAAATAATTGTAATGTTTAATGAAAAATGTATTTGATTAGTTTTTTTTTTTTTTAACTCAAAATGCTAGACAATGTGTGCTTTTTATCAAATAATTATTTATAAATAATTAGTACAATTTGTTAGTCAAATTAATTACACAATCACTATCAATCCTCTGATGTTATCTACTACACCGGTATAAGTCTGTGTTTGGTAGACAAATAAGTTAACTTATTATTTGGTTAGCTTATAAACTCTCTGAATTCAAATAAGTCTAGTTTGATAGGACGAGCTTTTTTAAAAAGCTCGAGTTTATTTGAAAAGCTTGTTTAGGTAACTTTTCAAATAAGCTAGTTGAATTTTTTTATTCCAGCTAGCTTATCAGCTAATTTTACCACACTTTTATCATATAAGTTAGCTTTTCAGTTATAAGTCATAAGTTATAAGCTATAAGCTCAAAAATTATTGATAAGGTATAAACTAACTTATCAACTAGTTTTACCAAACATAGCCTAACTGTTGTTTAGAAAAAATAAAAATAGTAGTCTCACGACCAAATTTCCCCTCTCTCACTCTAAAATTTGTAAATTTTTTTCGTTTTTTCTGCCTTTTTTTTCTTTATACACAATTAATAATTTTATTATTATTTTAATTAACATTCACACCTATCTATAACCGTTTTTTGCTTTTGAAAATTCGTTTTTTTATATGATTTCAACACATTTTCATTTACCATTATTAATGAACCCTTGAGTTTTATCCAAATATTTTTCAGTTACACGTGATTTTTGCACATTTTCAACACATAATAATAATAATAATAATAATAATAATAATAATAATAATAATAATAATAATAATAATAATTTCAGTCAATTAATTCTCCTATATCTCAATTATAAGTATTATATTATTTATTACAGTGTATGTCATATATATATAGTGATTCATATATAAGTTATGCAATTTATATTTATATTGTTCATGTTCATTAATTGTTAATATTTTAAAATGTGATATATATTCATTATCTAACTTATAACTTTAAATATATTATACATGCATAAAAATACAAATTAGTAAATGGTTCATTTGATATTTTGAAAGATTTTAAGAAAATCGTGAAGAATTAGTTTATTTATTTGTCGTAATTTACATACATATTGAACGGGTGGCAATTAATTACAAAAAATATTAAATAAAAAACTTATTTCCACATCTACCTAACATAACATAAATATTTAAATAAATACTAACTATTTAATATTACTCATCACACACATGTGACACATCCCGCCGCTTTTCTTTTTGTTTCTTCTTTTAATCTTTTTCTCTTTTCTCTCTCTTCTCTCTTTCATTTTTTTTTTCTTCTTTTTTGGTTTCATAAAAACTCTCGAGGACTAAGGATGGCCGAAGCAGCGTCGTTCGGCTTCGGCCTCGCTCGGCTAGCGAGGAAGACGGCGTTAGAGGTGGAAGATCTGACTTCGAAAGATTTATAGGGTTTCACGGTAGCAAGACGGTGGACGAGGTGTGGAGGAAAAACGTGAGCGCCGGGAGCTGGGAATGAAGAAGACGCTAGAGTTCGCCAGGGCCCGGGAGCCTTTGGGATGGACGCGGTGATGATGAATACCTCCGCGTCGGCGATTCAATTTGCCTATTTGATTCAGTACCCCAATATTATCTTCTTCTTCTTTCTTCTTCTTTTCTCTTCTTATTCATTTTGTACACATATCCCCGATTTCTTCCCCAAAATTTTCTTTCTTTTTCGTCCAGCTCTCTCCCACCGACGGCGACCGAAGAGTTCGGCCCAACGGCGGCGTTCGTGATGTTGGCGGCCGATCAGGGCACGTTGAGCTCTCGTGGCAGGCAGCTGAGATGCCCGCGCATGATAACAACATACGAGTGATAGCAACGGCTAGCGCCTTTTAACATATCGATATTCTGCAGCAGCACAGTCGTGGTCATGCAGAATTTTTGAGAATTTTTCGGCCATTGAGGATGAGGAGGCACCTATGTACAATTTTGTATTAATGCTTTTGGATTTTAATGTTTATTTTTCGAATATTAATAGTTTATGGTTGATCTATGAACAAAATTATTTTGATCATCTAACAAAATTTGATAATATAAGCACGTTATATATAAATAAACTAAATATAAACTTTAAAGAAACAAACTAAACACACATAAAATAAAATGTGTCATTTGTGTGTATGTGCAATATTTTTAAAAATGTTGGTGATTTTGCAAAATATTTCGAAAAATATAACGTATATATAATTTATCCTTTTAAAAATATAGCATAAATGGTCCGACGGACTCATTTTTGTCAATTATTTCGCATCTAGTTTTCAATAAGGAGTAGCCCAATTAACTGACTTGCTCCGGCTTGATTGGACGATCCAGTCCAATTTAATAACCACTAGTAAAAGTGCTTGGTAATTTAATTTATAAATCAACTGAAATAAAAATTTAATTGAGCTTTTGAAAAAGCTATTTAGATAATCTTATGTGACAAGTTTCAATTTATTAAAAAATCTCATCCTACTAAATCATATTTATTTAAATACAAGTACTTTTATTAAAATAAGTTATAAACTAGTATATGATACTTATAAAACACACTTAAACTTTTAAGACAAGCTATATGTCTTCTTAAAAAATCATACCACCAAATAAAATTTATTATTTGAACAAAAAAATCTTATAAGCTAACTAAATAATTATAAATTACTTTATGCTTAATAACAAACATACTCGTTTTACCAGGATTAACTTATCAAATAATTTTCAGCAATAGTTACCGAATGTACCCTTATCACTTTCCCACCATACTCATTTAATAAAAGGTTATTTAAGTAACTCGAGTGGACATAATTTTGTATTGCCAGTACGTGATTCGCATAAAATCTAACAGTTACAGATACTATAATATATTAATTTCTTTCTGCCTTTTACGTGACTTATACCGGTACACGTTGAAAAAACAAGTCCACTGTCTGGAGTCAAAACAGATAAATGAGAAATAAAAATATAAATATAAATATCCAAATTCCAAAATGTGTCACAACTCACATGGAATTTATGAGAAAAAAATCAATTTTTTATATCTTTTAAATATTAAAAAAAAATAGACAGAATATTNNNGGTTAGAAAAATGTAATGGAAAAAGAAAAAAGAATAACTTTAAAGATAAATGAGACATGTATTGAGAGGTAAATAAAACAATTTAAAAAATAGAAAAATAATACACTTTAAAGAAAAATTAGATATATATATTTGAGAGGTAAATAGAAATAAGATAAAAATATGATACTTAAAAATTAATTTGATATAAAACTAATAAGATATAAATGATTGACCTTTAAAATACCCAAGTAGATAAATAGTATATCTTAAAAATATAATTACTATTATCTTTTATATCTTTAATAAACGAGTTTATATAAAAAAAGTGAGATGAAATAAATATATATATTTTTTAGTTAATTTTAGTGAAAAGTGCCGCCTTTAGACATACTTTATTAAGAAAACGACTAATCAAATAAATTATTCAAACAATATTAAATTTCCGGTTTATAACTGTGTACTGTATAGAGGGTACCAGCAGCAGGGTCCTCTTGCTTCACTGTTTTTTCATCATCACAAACAAAAATAAAAGGAACACAAAAAAGCAAAACAAAACTCCAAAATTTGATCATCTTCACCTCCGAAAAAAAAAAAATATCACAGCTTCCCGAAGGTATGTATGCCTTAATTCTCAGGATTTGCATCTTTTTGCATAATTTTTTTTCTGGGTTTTGTTGGGCGATGAAACTGATGCTGTAACTCATTTTNNTTTTCTGTCTGTAGATTGTATGTCTTTTCCTTTGAATGTGTGCTTTGCCAACTGAAAGCCGATATCTTTTTTCCGGCCCACAATTTAGTTTCTCTGAACTTCGATTTATTCAGGGGTGAGCTTCAGAGCTTCGAAGGGAAAAAAATTGGAGTATGATTTTTGTCTAGAAAGAGACAGAATTTTAGAATAGTTTGGTTGAAAATATAGTAATAGAAACTGGGTTCTTGATCTGTTGCTGGATTTTTGGCTTGTTGGTTTTTTTTTCTTTTTTATTATATTTGATTTTATTTTAATTCAGCCATTGATCAATTTAGGTGGATTTTACCTACTGCCTACATATTACATGAATTGCACTGGGAAATATGTAATTAGTGTTTGCTGAACTAGTCACTAGCTGGGCTTTTCTCCTTTTTTTCTTCTTCTTGTTAGTTTGATTCTTGATTCATAGTTCTAACTTATCATTTTTCTGCATCTCCTTTTTATTTTTCTTAATAAGTGATTCAATTCCATTACATATGATTTAAGCAGTGTTTATGTCAAAGAACTTCATCTCAGCAAAAGCGCATTGTATTGTATTGTTCCCTAATCGAAATCCTATGCTTCACATTTTCATCAGAACTCATAAAAATGGAGTCTTTCCTCAAACCAAAGCAAAGGCCCAAAAAACACCGTCCTCTAACCCTATCAAGACTAATAAAAGGCATAATTTGCCTAATCATCTTAATCTCAACCGCATTCGTGCTTTTGGTGTACTTTGGCTTCTGGACAGCTGTCCCCTTGAGGCTCGTCAGCGTACATCACAGCAGAAAAACAACCGCATTGTTCTTCGGGAGCTGGATTGCTTTGTGGCCTTTCTTGTTCGAGAAAATAAACGGGACCAAAGTGTGTTTTTCCGGGGACCGCTTACCCGTGGAGAGGCGCGCGTTGCTTATCGCGAACCACAGGACGGAGGTCGATTGGATGTACTTGTGGGACCTTGCTTTGAGAAAAGGGTGTGAGGGTTATCTTAAGTATGTTTTGAAGAGTAGCTTGATGAGACTGCCCGTTTTCGGATGGGTTTTTCACGTGATGGAGTTTATTCCGGTCGAGAGGAAATGGGTGGTTGATGAATTCAAAATGTGCCGGATTCTGTCGAGTTTTATGGACTCCTGTGATCCTATGTGGCTTGCTCTTTTCCCGGAAGGCACCGATTTCACGTAATATTATGTTTTTTTTTTTTTCAAGGAATTAAGGTTGTGTTTGTTAAGTAGCTTATAAGCTTCTTGTATTCAAATAAGCTTGGTTTGGTGAGACGAGTTTTTTTAAAAAAAACTCGAGCTTATCTCATAAGTTTCATTGGGTTGCTTTTCAAATCAGCCCATTGAAATTTTGATTTCAGCTAGCTTATTAGCTAATTTTACTAAACAATTTTATCATATAAGTTAGCCTTTTAGACATAAGTCATAAGCTATCAACTATAAGCTCGAAATTCACTTACCATCGAGGTTTACCAAACATAGCCTAATATATGAGTGATCATGAGACTAAACATGGGATTTTTGCAATTTGGCTACATTTTAAGGGAAGATTTTGGAAGTAGTACTAAAATATATATGTGCTTTGTTTGCGTTTCTCTTTACAAGGCGGCAAATGTGCTGTTTTCGAACGTGAAGTTCTTTGTTACGCATTAAGAATATTCATGTCGTTCGAACTTTCTTACTCGATTTCTAAAATTTATTGCAATTTAGAGAACAGAAGTGTGCGCGTAGTCAAAAGCATGCTTCCGAAAATGGGCTGCCGGTTCTGAAAAATGTGCTGCTCCCGAAGACAAAGGGATTTTATGCTTGCCTCGAAACTCTAAGGGACTCACTCGATGCAGGTTCTTTTTACAGTTCCATTGCTAAATTTATCTCTTAATACTTCTCTTTGTTCTTACATGCAATTGGTGCTCTGTTTTTGAGACTATATAACAAGACCAGCTCCCAACTCAAAGGAATGGAAAGCGGATTCAAGGCGACATCGTATAGAAAATTTGAGCTCGTATTTTGGTCTATGTTATATTTAACATTTAAATCATGGGCTAAATTGCAATTTTGGTCCTATTAGATAAATTATAAAGGTAGCAATTTAGGTTTCTACTGGAGTGACATAACAATTTAAGTCATGTAATTTTAAATTTTTTGTTGCAATTTCAGTCCTTTTAACAGTCAAAATATTTTGCTGCCTGTGCAGTCTATGACATCACAATCGGGTACCAACACAATTGCCCCTCGTTCTTGGACAATGCCTTTGGAGTCGACCCTTCAGAAGTTCACATTCACGTCCGGCGAGTTTGCCCTAACGACCTCCCGAAATCCGAGGATGAAGTATCTTTGTGGCTAACGAATACATTCGAACTCAAGGATCAAATGTTGTCTGAATTTTACAAAACGGGGCATTTTCCTAACGAGGGTACGGAAGGGAACCTTTCGACGATGAAATGTGTGGCGAATTTCGTTGTGGTAATGATATTGACCGCGACTTGCATAGTTCTTAGCTTTCACTATGTTTGGTTCAAAGTATATGTTGTTTTGGTTTGTAGTTACTTGGCCACAACAACATATTTGGATGTTAGGCCATTTCCCCTTTTTGGTCAGTGAAAAGTTTTACATGTTATAGTAATTTTTTCCTATGTATTTTTATTGTTCACTTGATAATAAAAGCGTGTTACGTAAAGCACACATAGCATTACGTCAAATGCTATGTCACATCATTTAAGTGTACATTGAATCTGATGTACCATTTTACAAATAAATAATAGATGTTTTGTGATATCACGAGCTATTTTGCCCATAGTTGCCTTTAATCTATATATATATAATAAGAATTAATATTTACCAAAAATAGCAGCAAAAAAAAGGTCAGAATTTAATGCAGTCTATAAATAGTAAGTTTTATTATTTTTCTTATTTTGCTTTAAAATTCATACATCATTAAATGCTACCTTAAATTTCGGGGTATAGTTCATTTTATTATTGAAAAAATCCGGCTAAGATTTATTAAGTGTGTATGTTTTTATTTTTATTTTTTTCTTAGAAACAACGACCAAAATTAAAATCTCGGTCTCTATATTTATAAAATCTCAATTCAAAATATAACAAAAGTTTTAGAATCTCGGTCTTTATATTTGTGTCTTTAAAAAAATTAAAAGCTAAAAATATTCTTTAATTTGCATAATCAATCAATTCATCTTAATTTTTTGAAAATTACTATGTTTATTTTTCATTAATATGCATAAAGTAAAAATAATTAATTCATCTTAAGATATATAATTTATAATCTTAATATACTATCAGTTGGTGTAGACATTTATTATATGAATCATAAAATATTTTTATTTCATAAAGTTAAATATATTTAAAGAAAATAAGAAAATTTCTTCAGATCAATCAGGTGATTGAATTAGGGTACTGTCCAGGTTGATTGAATTACTTTTAGGTAATATTTAAAATAGTCAAAAAACTTGACACAACTTGGTTGACTTGGTTGGTCCCAGGTGACTAAGTTATGAATCAGTTCGATCACACCAAATTTATTATTGAACCTAAATATAAATTTTATATTGAAAATATTTTATTACGTGAATGTGATGTAGTCCAAATTTCAAATAATCGTATTAACAATACTTTTATGACAACATGTTTAATGATTTATTAATATTTATATCTCATTTTATTAATATTTATGTGAAAAAAATATTTTATTATAATATTTATTAATGTACATTAAATATAAGGTTCTCAGAACTGGACCGTCATCGAAACGATCAAGCTATTTTATTAAATCATTTGTGGTTTGTTCAGATTTTAATTTATAAATATTTTAATATATATATATATATAGTATTTTTTGTAATAAATTTAAACAAAATGTGTTACTTAGATATTTAAAAAAAAAATAAATTCAAATGTTTAAACTAATTGATAAATACTTTATAAATCTCTATTTTATTTAAATATGTAATTTTATTTATAATAATTTTAAATATAATAAAATTTATTTAAAAAATCGTGTCGATCCTACAAATCCAACCGACTGGTGTTTACGGATTCAAAAGCAAATATCTTATTCAAGCGAACTAGACTGGTTATAAATCGGTTCTCGGTCCATCCGGTCGGACTGTATCCATCCTGGTTTAATGTAAAAACAATACATATATCATGATTAATGTTATTTATATATTTAATTTATAATACAATCGTAATATTGTTTTCTCGTGCATTGCACGGGCCACGCACTAGTTTTGAAATAATCAGACTGCTCTATGTCAGTGTTACCTGTTACACTAATTTTGACTGATTTTTTTCAACTACAATGAGAAAAATGAACACCAGTACACAGTTGACATATACTGGATGCATTTATCAAATATCTATGTTCCAAACTTTTTCAAATAAAATTCATTTTGTTATACCTTCTAATCCTCTCTATATATAATTTCAGAATGCGCTGAGCTTACGTGGCAAACTCTCATGCTTCGAAATCCTATTTTGCAAAAAATCATGCTTTGAAATTAGGCCTGTATATAAATTAATATTTGTATTAATTGTATTTTAATATCATTTCCTTTATAACCAATGAATTACAATTCTATTTTAAAAGTTGATAACTTTTGTATTTCTTATCGGTTTTACATATATAATATATCAAATTAATCATCTTTTGATGAGTTTTTATTTGACATCCATATTGTATATATAAAATAAATAAATTATATTTATTTTTATAATAATAATAAAATTATTTATTAAAATTAATTAGAAAATAAAATTATTTATAAATTAATATATTTATGTTTAATGTAGTTATATGTTATAAGGTAGAAAATTTATTATAACATAAGACATATATATCAAACTAAATTATACGCATAATAGAGGATGCCAAAGTCTGACCTCGCCAAATACCCCAAGCAAGTTGCACCACTTTAGTGATTATAAAATAAACTACATAACTAGTACTTAAATTCTTCTCCGGTTACACTGGTTTACTCGATACTACTGGTTTTTCCACGATAATTTTACAATTCTACACATACACGTAACTTATAAGTTATAATAATTTAAATTTATGTGCATGTGCACATGATCAAATACTAGTTATAAGATAATAAAGTCTAATGTATAACATAATAAATTCTAACTCCCAACACGATAATATCTAACGTCCAGTTTATAACATAATCAAGTTTAATGTATAACATAATAATTTCTAACACCTAACACGATAATATCGAACGTCCAATTTATGAGATAATTATTTCGAATCTATAACATAATAATTTCTAATAATATTATTTAAAAAAAATAAAAGATAATGTCCGGCCGGTCCAATCGGTCGGCCGGACAGCGAAGAAACATACTTCGTCGGAAGACGACATTTCGCCGGAAATCGCTTGGTACAGTTTCTTCTGAGATTTTTTAAAAAATGAGAAGGGCAAAATCGTACAAGGGGGCAGTAACAAGTAATAGGGGAGCGGTGAATTGCAATGCCCAAATCTATTTTGCCATATCAACTAGTGTAGGACAAAATTCAAATGTGCGGCTATAAATATTTTTACTTTACTTTAAATACAGTTAAAAATTAGTTATTACACATTCATTTATAATCAAATGTTATTTAAAGTTACTATATAATACTTCAACTATATTTATTGATGGAATCATGGAATGAAAAAAATTCGATCAAATGAAAGTATATGCCATTGGGAACCAACACTTGAATATGGATTATTGCAAAATATTGTTTGCCTTGGTCTATTAGGCCCATTTTAGGGGGATTTTAAATCAGATATACCAAATCTTAATGCGTTTTATGTGATAATTATATTATAGAAATTATTGTCAAGTCACAAAAAAATAAAAATAAAAATAACAATAAAAAACCTATTGCAACCATAAACTCAATATGTGGCCACATGTTCAACAATCTGAACATCAAACTTGAAGTTTAATTGCACCAACCCCAGCTGCCAGAGCTGCTTGCAGAGTTTCAAGTACTAAATGCATACTTTCATCAGAGGCCTGCAAAGAAAATAAAACATAATATAATTAAATATTGAACAAATCTGGAAACCACGGAAGAAAAGAACACACACCAGGTACATTTCACTTTACATTTTTTTGAAGATCTATAAGTGACGAGAATAAGTCCACCGTAGAATTTTGAACGATTCCGGTGGTGGCATCTGGTAAAAGCTTAGATAAAGCTCGACAAGCACCAAATTTAACTAGTGGAGGTCTGTAAAAGAAGGAATAATGAGTGAGTGACATCATGTTGGGGAGTTTAAAAACCCAAAAAACCCAAGATCTTACACATCCATTCCAACTGTCTTAATAGCAGCACATATGAAGTCATCTGTTACTTGGTTGTTCATCTGTCCACATAATTAAAACCAAATTAGATCTTGCAGGAAGATGAAAGAGCTGTGTTTAGGATAATGAAGGCAGGCAGAGGGAAAAGAGGCTGTTCAGTTTTCACTAATTACCATGGAAGAAAATCTTGCAACAGTCGAAAATAAGCGGGCACAAAGAAAGGGGTAGTCATGGAAGCCTGTAAATAAACAAGGATCCTTATAATAAATAAAATAAAATATAGATTGAACTAGCAGGAAAAGAATTTTCAATACATCTTATAGTGCTTCTCACCTTCTGCCATGTCATCACTTAAAATTTCCCACAGCATAGCTCCAACAGTGGAACCAGAAACCTAAGAAATCAGAACATAGGCATTAAACGAACTATTAACCCAGCATCTAATTATCTATACAGAATAGAGATAAAAAAAAGAATGTCAAGGGCCAAGGGCCAACCTCTACTTCATCAAGCAACAACTGTTCAGGCACAGAAGCCAAAGCAGCCAAAGCATACAGGGCAGCCTCCCTTAACTGCAAGCACGTTGATAAGGTAAATGATTTTAAAGGGAAAAAAAAGATATAAATTCATAAACCAGTTTAGCAAGTTACAATGTCCATATAACATTTTTCTGCAGTAAATCAAGTCATGGATTTGTTCGACTTACTCTCCACCAACCAGGAGAGCCAGTATCTTTCGCCTGTTGGGACTCGTTTCTTCGCATTTCTACACATTCGATCACTGCTTTTATGCCTTCGGCCCCACATTTAGATACTACATCTTGCAGCAGAAGTGCAACTGCAAGGTACAAAAAATCCACAAGGTAGAAAAATAATTTTTGAAAGAAATCCATTGAGATGCAATCTCTAGGTTTATACAAGAATGTAGTGGGTAAGATGACAAGCAGGAAAACAATAAATTAATCTACATATTTTACTAGACTGGAAAGACTTTGCAACACACATATTAGCTCCACAGCATGTCTCATAGCATAGGTTATCAATGCACAAGTCTTCGTATACAACTTCCACCACATACACACAAACATACAGGTGCAAAAAGAGATATTTTTAAATCATGCGGTCATAAAGGCCTGTTAGAACAGAAAATCATCTTTGGCGAACAAAATTAATCGGCAACCAGCGAGATCAGAAATAAATTTAGTAGTATCCAGCATACCACCCTGATTTTCTCTATAAGCTTGACTGCTCGTTGATTAATATTCATTGCAAGACAAGATCAAGTACACATACACAGAAATAGGAAGATAAAATGCATATATACACCACACGTGACCACAAAGGGTAAACATTCTGCCATTAGCAGAAATTAAGGAACAAAGTATTGCCAATTCCAGAATTTATTTACCGTGTACACGACAGTAACTACTGTTATCCTCATCAGCAACATACTTGTTAGCATCGTTTGACCAGGAATGAACCTACAGACAAGAAAGGAGAAATTGACTCGAGTTGCTCCTATAAAAAGTAATCTCACAAATTAGTATCTTTGACAGTACAAATAGATCTTGCATATGCAGCTAGCAGCAGACTAACTAGAAAAGCAAGTCGAAACTTTAATACAAAATCGCTCACCCTAAGTTTCAAACCTCAAATATCCAAGAAAAAAAAAAAAGGTGGAAACACTCGAACAAAGGAAAATGTTACAGTCCAATTGGGCCAAGCCGGCAACATATACACATCTGGATATAAACTTAGAGAGAGAGAGAGAGAGAGGGGAGTTGAGGGGGAGTACCTGTCTTTCCGTCATTTGAAGGAAACCAATAGTGTAGTAGACTAACTCATATACATCGTTCATAACAACCTACATGAAAAAATAAAGACTTCCAAAATATTCCAAAAGTGGAATCCAGAGCAAGACAATAGGGAGATGGCTTTGCAGCATACCTTCACAAACCTCGGGCTTCCAGTAGCAGTCAATAAAAATTTAAATAACTGCACCCCCCAAGACCAGGAATAGCATGTCAAATACAAAATTGCAATTATTCCACAATCAGCCAACCAAAAGACGAACAATTTTCTATTAAGATCTTTAATACAAGCACATGCTACACACGCTTCCCATGTATTCACAAACATGCAATGCATTTTCAAGCTAACATGCTATACACAGAACACACACCACACACATTATTTAACACAGACACACCGCACACATTGTACACACAATTTCAGGAAAGAAGAAAATGACAACCACCCTTTCAGACCCAGCTCTATGATTAGATATGTTCCAACCAGATAAAAAAAACAAAACATTTCACTGTAAGAAGTCAGCACCAGGGCACAGTTTAGTCATGAAGTTTTATTTGATGCTACTTTTCCTTGACCAAACTTCACAGAACAGGTAAGAGTGTACTAACCTCGATAACAAAGGACTCGAGACTTTGCTCAGCACCATCAGAATCATACCCATCATTATAGGAATTTTCATTGCCTTCAATTGCTGAGCGCTCATAAACTTCCAACGTTGACCCAAATGTTTCCCAAAATGGCCACTGAATTACTGAAATACCGCCAGAGTGAGAAACTATGAGAATAAGAACAAAAGGATGGGCGAAAAAAAAAAAACAAAAACAAAAACAATGTATCATCATAACCGGGGTACTAGAAACTACACTAGAACACTTGATCTACAATACCTGCGAAATAAGTTTTTGTAACGGTGGGGAAGTTCTGAATGAACTGATTCAAACACTTTATCACCTGGACAGTCGGCAAAATGAATTGGTAGAAGTCAGCATTCTGCAAAAAGACATCATCAAGAAAATTGAAAGAAAAAAAGGAACTAGGAAAAAAAAATACCTCCTTCCTTATGCTCCAATCATCAGGATCTTCAGATGGCACCGGCTCAAACAAGATTGACGAGAATATTTCCATCCAAGGTTTGAGCATTTCGGTGGTTGTTTCCATCTACTTACCACAGAACAAGTAAATATCGGTTTTTTCCCAATAATTTAAATGCATTTGATCAATTGGCTGAGCTGAGTGAATACCTCCTCGTACGCACCACTCATAGCCCAACTGATTGAAGTACAATTATAAATTAGTGAAAGAGCTTTAGACCTCAGACTTGTGTCATAGATCTGCACATTTGAATCCACAGATAGATGAGAAGTTGATTGAAGAGTACCCTCTTTATCACAACATTCATGGATTCCAGGGACATTCTAGCAGTGAATTTGTAAGAAAAAGAAGATAAAAAATACATGAAGTAATAAATAAAAATAAAAAGCAGTATGAAATTAAAAAAAAAAAAAAAGAAAGAAAAACTATGTGGAAAACAAAAAGGACCTCTTGAATTTCATTGTATATTAAAATTTGTTACCAATGCATCAGTAGAAGCTAAATAAACATAACTAATTATAAATATCCATAATAACCAAAAATAAAAATAAAAAAAATTATGTGATTTAGATAAACCAGTGTCCATTTCCATTGCTACCCTTAATTACCTCTCTTCCTAAAAGACTTAAACAATTTTGTCTTCTTCTGAATGCAATCAACAATCTAAATAAATACAACATGCAAAGTATTGGACAAGGTTAACCTGAGGAAACAAAAAGTGCAAGTATGGGAATAAATCTGCGACAAGTCGGGGCACCATCTTGTCATCCATGTCCGAGGAAAGAAGAGACAAGCATAGTAAAGCTCCATGGACTGCATTAAAAACAAAAAAAAACTAAGTTCGCCTTTCCTTTCAAGAAATGTTTAGCATATTACAAAGACATATTAAGTACTCACCAACATTCAGATTACTCTGTAGGAAAATTAAAGTTAAAAGAGAAGGCACTAATTCAGGCCAATCTTCTGGCCAATCATAAAGCGCAATCGCCGATACAGCTGCACTTACTGCAATACGGATCTCCTTATGAGGATCATCAAGCAATGCTAAAAGTAGTCCTTTCACAGCTGCCTGATAGAATAACAGAATTAGGTGATATATTAACATGTAATCAACCTTCAGCTTCATCTATCTTACATGTCTCTAAATTATCAATGCCAGTCAAGATGAGCAGAAACGTAAGTTCATCAAATTTAACACCCAATTATTTAGTAGAGAAAAAAAATATCTAAAGCTCTAAGCTTTAAGCAAGACTAGATCTCTTCATTAATTCCATATCACCTCAGAAAGAAACGTGAAACAAAGATTTGAGACAAGAAGTATTGTCAATACTGCATACTGCAGCTTACAGGATACTTTATAAGTAGTTTTTTAATAAAGTAAAAGCATATTAGTAAAAAAGGTTGATCTTATCTAGGAATTGTATAAAAGCTTTGATATATTTTCGAGTGCACCTTCTCATTGCTCTCAACAACAGGATGCTCAAAGCCTTCCTCATCCTCATTCCAGTGTTCTCTGATAAATTGCTCTAGCAAAACTGCTGCTAGGTGAATGTGTGTTAATCTGACAATGGCTAAGCTAAAAAGGAACTCGACTGGACTATATGTTATTGTAACGCATAGGAATAGTAAATGATGTAAGAAAAAATAGGTAAATTCTATAATTAAATCACAGCATCATCAAGGATATATGCCGCAATTCCAATACGCTTTCCTGTTGTGCTGCAAATCTAGCAAGAGCAAGACCATAACCTTTGCAGAAGTTCAAAAGGTAATGTAAAATCAGTTCGATATCTCATACTGCAATAAATAACATAAAAGGAAAGAAAGCGCAGAATTTGTTAAGGTGTCTAGATCCTAGAGACAGTGGCCACTGGTTATCAGCTAACATTGAAGTCATACTAAACAAGAAACAGCAATGATCCTCTACAAAATATGTGGATCAATAAACCAATGATTCTGCTGTAATTGGTCATTTAGCAATTAAAGCTTTCGCCTTTCCTCATAAAATGACATTCTTACACAGCAAACTTGGCATCAGTCTTCAATTTATACGGTCAACAACATAACCAAAGCAAAGTTTACAGTAGCATTCCATAAAATAAAAACAAAAAATGCATACTTTATCCATCAAAAATTGCTCTCGATTATCCTACACTTCTCAGAATTCCATAAAATTACATCCATTCAAGATTTCTCTTTTGGATTCATAACCGGGGGAATTCCACTCATACAACAACAAATTCCATCCCTAGAAAGAACATTAACATCAGACACTTGCGATTTCTGAAAACTATTTAATTAAATCACCTGGTTTGCTGGGATCGAGTGATACATTCAAGCAATTGATCATCCATTGCGGGTCCTGATCCTGATCCATGCCTACTGATAAATAATCCCTGTAATCAAATGTGTGCGTGATTCAAGCAAACCTGTGCTTTTTGAATGCAAATATCCTACTACTGAACCCGTGCAAATAAATATACTTATTTGCCCTTCATTTACAATTAAATTCTCAAATCTTGCCCCACTCCAAAATCTAGATTTCTTTCATGACAATGCAAAATCATAAAACAATTTCAAATTCTATCATCCAATGTTACAATAACCTATGCAAACAGACCGACCTTTAAAACGCAAATTAACCACTTATCTTCTATCAACTTTGTAAATATGTTACAATAACCTATGCACACAGACCAAATCCTATCATCCAATGTTACAATAACCTATGCAAACAGACCGACCTTTAAAACGCAAATTAACCACTTATCTTCTATCCACTTTGTAAATATGAAAAAAATGGAGGAAATATAAAACGTAAAAAATCAGGATAACGAAACAGAAACATTACAGCGCGCCTTTCTGCTCCTCGGCGAGGGATTTGGAGGAGGGTTTGGGCTTTGATTTGGGGATTTTCGGCTTGGAGCAAGGGTTGAACGAGGACGAGGCAGGGTCGTTCTGATGCTGATCGAGATGGAATTGCTTCTGGCGGTGGAGGGATTTGGCAACCTTGCGGAAGCGCGAGTGCATCTGCCGCTCTTTCAGAGGCTCCTGCTTAAGGATGTCCATGGTTTTTGATGCGGGATTGTTGGGAAGGAGGTTTTTGATGTGGCGATTTCTTCTTTTCGTCAATTTAGGGCACAGCTTCGGCGGAGACGCGAGTCGTGACGAGGTGGATATTTTGTGAGGGTATTTATGTAATGGACGAGGCAGGGTCGTTCTGATGCTGATCGAGATGGGATTGCTTCTGGCGGTGGAGGGATTTGGCAACCTTGCGGAAGCCCGAGTGCATCTGCCGCTCTTTCAGAGGCTCCTGCTTAAGGATGTCCATGGTTTTTTATGCGGGATTGTTGGGAAGGAGGTTTTCGATGTGGCGATTTCTTCTTTTCGTCAATTTAGGGCACAGCTTCGGCGGAGACGCGAGTCGTGACGAGGTGGATATTTTGTGAGGGTATTTATGTAATGGCATGAAATCATGAGGAAGATTTCAGAAAAAAAAAAATTAATAATAATAATAATTTGATCACTCTTGTATATAAGAGCATCCCACAGATGAGTGCGCCACGTAAATAAACCCAAGTCTTGGATGACATGGCTAAAATTATGTAAAATTAACAAAATCTACTCCAATGCAAAGAGATTAGGTCTCTACTTGGGTCTAAAATAGACTTAAGGGGAGACCGGGTCTCTTTTTCTGGGTGCCACATCAGTAGAACCCAGTCTACTTTTATTTGCATTGGAGAATATATTTTTTTAGATTGAATCTATTTCTTAGGTGGCATATAATTTTTTGGGATTGAACCCAAAGCATTGTGGATGCTCTAAGAGTCTCCTATCTTGAAACTAGAATAAAAAATATTGTCGTATCTTCTTTTCTTTTTTTAATTTAATTTTAACTTAACTTAACATGTATTTGAGATCTTGATCGTTAGTAGGATTCTGTCCCCTCTTACCATACATCTACCATACGACTCGTACGTTCATAGATCTTTCTAGTGAATTCGCAACTCGCTGTTGCGGGTTCTTACTAGGCCAAAAAGCCCGACATTTACTTATTCATGATGGTTTGTATAGTGAAAACATTGTTTCGTTTGAACTTATTTCTGTTATAAATAAAATAATCATGTTTGGTCATTTATTGTACAATTTAATTTATATATAGATTTGTCTTTTGTCATGTTATTCACAATTAAAATAATATAGTGTGACGACACCGTGTACAAGATCTCAATTCCTTGTACAATATAAATAAGGTTCACAGGCGAGACAACGATGGACAAACTTGCCGTATGGTTATAGTATAATTTGGGTTAGTTTATCTTAACTAATGAATTATTCTACTACACCTTTTGTATTGAATTGAACTCTGGAGGAGAAGTTTATTTTATATTGATCCAGTAAATAAACTAGAACCCGTGATGTCGCCGGTACTCTTAAGTCGTTCGATAATGATAGGCATATGTGGTTTATAATGGTTATTCGATGGTGAAACTTATTTCGCTAGGTCAATAACTCGGTTAGTTGAGAATTATTATTAATCACATTGGGTGTTGTCGATTATACTTAGTCACTGTGTCTTGGTGCGTCAGGTTGATGACACCCCCTAGATGAGCTCATAAGGATTATTATGTTAAACACTGCAGAAAAATTTAGTTCCGGCATAATAATAATGATTGAGTGCTACTAGTCTCGCAAAATTAAGAAGTTGGTTAATTAAATTGTTAGTGATTAAATTAATGAATAGGCGTTATATCTCAAACACGGGAGAATAGATCGAGGATAGTGGAACCCATATAAATGGGGTGAGTAAAATGTAGTGCAATAATTTAATGAACTGATTTATTATTAATGACCCAAGACTTACGATGAACCACAACCCAAATATTTCGTCACTCATTGGGGGACCTATTCCTTGTTAGTATATATGCTGAAAGTCTGGATTTTTCCATTTCTGCAAATTCTCAAATTTCTGCAAAAAATAATTTCACATCAAGTCACATGTGATTTAAAAATCCTAGAATTTAATGAAAATAATTATCCATTTTATTTTAATGAAAATAACTATCCATTTTATTTTATATAATAAATATAGTGATGTATTTGGATACTTTTTTTATGTTCATTTTTACTAACGACAAAATTTTTAAGATGTGATACTATTATTTAACTTATATTTTAAAATACAAAACAGTAATATATATCCTTATAAATAAAATTTAAATTTATTTATCAAACTAAATTAAATTATATCAAATAAAAGTATAAATTATATTATAAAGTAATAGAAATTGGTATGTATTCTTTTAAAAATGATAGTTATTTCAAATCTAATTGGTATGGTGTCAATGTAATAAAAATAAATAATTATTTATATAAATTCTAAAATTACATATAAAGTTAAAAAATTGTGAAGCACGACTGATACGATACTTGATGTATTAGACATCTAATTAAGTAAAAGAATTAATCTATTTTTCTTAATATTAAATAAACATATTCTACACTTATGCATATACATATCACCATATTATTTCTATTTATTTAAGATATATATTGTACTTATGTAATAGTAAATAATATCGATATTTTTATATGATATAAGTAAAAAAAAAATCAACACGGGTTGACATTTTCATTTAATGGTGCCCCTAGTGTGAACACTCGCAGTATATAATTCAACCTCGTCCTGCTTGAATGTTCACACTAGGGGCGGTACCGTAATTACTTAGTTTGTTGCGTTCACACTTGAAGAGTTGGTTAATTACGGTACCGCCCCTAGTGTGAACACTCGCAGTATATAAACAACCTCGTCCTGCTTGAATTGGTTTATTATATATACTGCGAGTGTTCACACTAGGGGCGGTACCGTAATTAACCAACTCTTTAAGTGTGAACGCAACAAATCAAGTAATTACGGTACCGCCCCTAGTGTGAACACTCGCAGTATATAGTACAAGTGTTTAATTATTATGATTAAAAAAATATAATTTGATAATATGCCAATAATTACATTCTAAGCAAAAAGCTAGAAAAATAAGAAATTAACCATTATGAATCAAAGAACCCTATCAAGAAACACACACATACACACACAGAGAGAGAATTTGAGCAATTGATTTTTTTACTGCAAGAAACTAAAATGCTCAGATTGATTCAGAGGCAAGAAAGCTCTATCTCCCACATAACTCGTACTATTATTTTAGCTGTTTATAATCAAAGGTTAAAATTATTTTTATAAAACACCTTATTTATCACAAATCTCTTCAATTTGGTTTTACCTAAATAACCTATATCAAACGACCAGTATAATTTTTAATGAATCGAGCTCGTGCTACTTAAACCTCTAAAATAGGAATTATGATGTCATTATTTATCTTTTGACATCAAAATTTGAGTTCAGCCTGTTATGTTCGACTTCGGCTATACTCAATACAGAGTCAGAGTATTAAGAGCTCAACTCAAGTCAGCTCTAAAATACTAATAATAAATTATTTAGATTCTCAAACTTTTAAAATAAATAAATTATTACTTTTTATTTAAAATAACATTGAAACCTATTCCTTGCATGTTGTAATAACTTTTTATCTTATACAAGTGAATAAACTTGATAGATAAGTTTATTAAGTTTTAGTTAAAATTGATAGATAAAATATTTTTATTCTTGTGCACACAGTTATGGTTATTTTTAAAATTTATATATGCACTACAAATGTTAAAGTAAATCAGAAAGAAATATTTATTTAATTTTATATCAACAATTGATTACAAAAAAATTATTATTATATTTTAAACAATATCTGTAATTAACTAATTGTTTTATATAATACATTCTATGGAAAAATCCAAGTTCTCTAAGGGCACAAATAGTTGTTGCCATTGTATATAAATAAAAAAAATATCTAGATAAAAAATGGATATAAAAATGAAGAAAAAAAAAATTAGAAAAAAAAAGTGAAAATAATACTTGAAAGCTTAACTCGTGTTTCAACTTCTTTCTCTCATTTCATATGCCCAATAAATCCAGGCTTATTTGCCCTAGCCTGGCCTAGGCCACAGGTTTTTTTACAGTATGGGCCGTGCTAGTCTGCTAGACCACAAAAAAAACGGCCCAAAATACTTTTGGACCGGGCCAGCTCAATTTTTCAATTTGGCCCAGCGGGCTCGAGCTTACCTAGGCCAATATTACAACTACAAGAGAGACCTCAAGTTTACATTAAGGCTCAAGTTTCAAAACTAAATTTCAACAAAGAATGCAACAAAAAATCCACAGAAAAAAAGGCCCCAAAATTTGTAAACCAAAAATAAAATATATATATATATATATATATATATATATTTTCCTATTTTTCTCTCATTGATTTACTTCTTGGTTTTTTAAGCTCCCAAGGGGGCAAACAACCTTTGTAGTGAGTGTGTAGGAACAAGGATGACATCGATACTTCTCGATTTCTGTGGTGCATAGAAATCGAAGAGAAGCAGCTTAGAGATCTCCTCAAACTCTTCCTCTCACAATCCGGGTCTCGACAATTCGCATCATGACGTACTTTGGTCGTTTTGAGGGCCTCTGGAAGAATAAAGTTGCATACCGAACCTACATGAGCAACAACCATTAAGAAAGTGGAGAAAAAAGAGATTAAAAATAAAGTACACAAATCTTGCAACAATTTTGAAAGAAAGGGGAAAAAAAATGAGAAAAAACAATGTGTTTGGTAAACACTATAAGCTAGCTTAGGGCTTATTTGCTTAACTTATAAGCTTCCTTCCTGTATTCAAACAAGTTTGGTTTGGTAAACGATTTTTTTTTTTTTAATTTTAAACGTCGTGTTTATGTCATAAGCTTCCTTGGATAACTATTCAAATAAGCCCATTGAAATTTTCATTTTATCTGAATTTTACCGAACACTTCTATCATATCTAGCTTTTCAGTCATAAGCTATCAACTATAAACTCGAAATTCACTTTTATAAAGCTATCAGTTAGCTTATCAGCTATCAACTAGATTTATCAAACATAGCCAAAGTCTATTCTAAGGAGTTCGACATGTTCCCATTGAAATTCAGTAGTTTGTCGAAATCACATATTACGGACGACCCTTGTCGATTCTTCGTGTTTTATGAAGTTAAAACTAGGCACAAAAGCTACTATGTTATACATGCGATGCAATTAACAGCCCACGCATGATGGTCAAGCATAAAAACGATTGAATTCTTTTATATTTAGAGAGAATTAAGTTGTTTTCGCAAAACTAAACGTAGGAAATGGACGACGTGAAGTTCGAATTTGCATCTTCGGAACTATGAAGGAAGGAAATGCAAAGACACAAGCATATGTGCATATATATATATATATATGGTAATGAAATTGGTGGAAAGGGGATGAATAAAAACCTATCCGTGCTAGCCGATTCACCCATTTGGGAATGCGATTTCCAGTTAGCTTATAGCACATATCCTCACAAAAATGGTTGCAATTCTTAACGACAAGGTGATACGTGTTGCCATTGTAGTTCACAGATTGGTGCTCCATAAATTCCCGAACTTGGTCACGGTTCAAATGTGTGTTACCAATGAAAATCGACTTCCGGAATCTAAACCCTGGGCATTGCTTCGGGTCGATTTCGAACACTCCACTTGAGGGGTCTTCATGAGCCCCAAAAGCATATTCAACACCGTGCACTGCAAATATAGTAAAAAAAATGTAGAATGAGTTGAAAGAAGAGACAAGTTAAAAGAAAAAAAAATTACAAATTCACATTAGATTGGAAAATGCACTAGTGAACCATTAACTGAGTTGTGCCAAAAAACGAGTGGGTCATATGCACCTAGGCTATAAACATAGCTGATATAAGTGATTTTAGAGCTAATAGCTGATAGCTGAAAAGCTAGCTTATATGATAAAAGGGTTCGGTAAAATTAGCTGATAAGCTAGCTGAAATAAAAAATTGAACGAGCCTATTTGCAAAACTAGTCAAAGAAGAAGCTTATCAACTTTTTAAAAAAACTTGTCTTACCAAACGAAACTTATTATTTAACTATAGGAAGCTTCTCAGCTAACTTATAAGCTAGCTTATTTGGTTACCAAACATAGCGTTAAGCATCTTGGAAACTCGGAGATTATGAACTTTCTGTGGTAATCCGAATCATAAACTAGGATGAGAAAATAGTAATTAACATGTTTAACGTTCACAATTTACACACATTGATTTTAAAGTACTCGGTTTTATTTCATGCTCAATTTTAAAGTAAAGAATCAGCTTTACCTTCGACGCCGGTGTGAAATACACCAACTCCAGCCCAATAAAGGTAGCCATTAATGGGAGTTAAATCATACACATTGAGATAAACAGGAAAGTTCTCAGGAATGTGACCTGCCGATTTAACTTTAGGAAACACACAGAATCCCGAGTCAGATTCGCCACCTGTCCCGGGACTCTGACCTGGCGACTTAACTTTCGGAAAAACACAGAATCCACTGGAAGATTCGCCTCGCATGTGAATAGGTACAACCGATCGCCAGCCATTTTTAAATTTCATGTTAAAACTGCACCAAATGGAAGGGTCAGAATAACTCTACACGAGTAGCAAATGTTTTATTTGTAAAAAAAAAAAAATCAGAAAATCTGACAGCTTCAAAATGGGGCCAAAGAGAAAATACTCAGTCAGCAAGTGTAATGATTTTTTATTTCACTAAGCTGTCGATATCCACAAGTGATTATTATTTTCTATTTCGATCAATTTCGCAGTTGGCAAGTCATTGACTGCGCTAACAACATCCTATAAACGAGTCCCTAAACAGTCATGATAGATTAAGTTTCTGAAATCATTTAATCCTTAATAAATGTAAACTTATCAACTACGAAATAAGCAGACAATAGTAAGTAGCTCTTGCTTTGTATTTTTTTCAATTGGAAGGAAGTAAAAAAATTCTCTACAAATTTAGAAACTCATTTCTTTTACAAAAATGTGATTTAAAGTACCAGATCCAATGAGCAAACTTTATGTGTCTACAAATCGCTAGTCTTCATAATTGAATATCTCATTCAGAAAGGCAGAACTCCACAAGATTTGGAAGTATAATTTCAACATGTGTGCACGCAGCTCTCTGTTTTACCATGTTCATAATACCACACAAGTAATCAACAACTATCGGAATTTTATCATGTTTCATCACAAATTCTAACACTCTACTTACATGTCAAAGCCTATATAAGCTGGATTAGTTCATGCACATATATAACATGTGTTGCTTTCACACAACTGCAACAAATCCTTTTACCTACTACCCGTGGGGCCCGCTTATACTAACGGCTTTTGGTCAAAGACAATATTTTGCCAATAACTTATAAATATTTTCTTTTTGGAAGTTTCTGACTTGCAGTTTTGCAATTAGAAACAGAAATCAGTGCTTTTCATTTTTGGTAGTAATACGACATAAGCTCGAATAAGCTCATCAAACTAATAAATGCCATGTCTCTATATCGGGTTACTTGAGATTCATTAAACATTTTTTCAGCATCAGAAAATCAGTGCCTTATTCAATTCTATCCCAAACCAAAACAAATGAAGCAATTAGTGGGCAAATTCGGTTTTTTTACCGTTGGATCATCACACGCACTCACACACATACACCACATGGATGTGTGTTGATTGAACGGTCAAAACAAAACCCGTGTGTAATTTTTGGTAACTAGTGATCAAAATGGACTTTGAAGAATAAGAAGATCACACACACACACACACCAAGAATAAGCACCCAAACCCTTAATTGCCTAGTCCCAGGTCATAAATTCCACACACATTACATAAAAATCGAAGCTTTTCTCACCACGAAAAGCAATGAGCGGAAAAAGAGAACTTGGATCTGAAAAACCCAATTGGATTCTNAAAAGCAAATAGAACAAGTAGAGAGAGGAAAAAAATTCAAAAGAAGCAAATGCAGCCACACAAAAGGAAAATTCTCTGAGAGAGGAAAATATTAAATCATGAAATAAAACCTGGAAAGAAACCCAGATTTATACAGTCCCTACACAGAAAGAAAAACAAAAAAAATCCTTAAACCCATTAATTTTCTTACCTCCTTAACAAACCCTCATCACCAGAACTGTAAACCAATGTGCAAAAAATCCACCGCTTTCAGAGCAGAAAACAGATGACCTGAAATTTGAGTGCATTCGCCTGAAATTCGCGCATTTAAATTTTTTTTTCCTCAGTGAATCTGCAAAAAAATAAAAATGTCGATTTTACGAAATCAAGAATCAACAGCTGCCATTTTTGTGTGGGTTCAAAGCAAAGAAGAAAAGAACAAAACTTGAGAGGAAAAAAAATGGGGCAAACCCCAAAAACTGACCTGTTTCAACTTGACTGTTGACAAATTTCTAGAGAGAGTAGTGAGAGTGAGACAGCCGAATTATATTTATATCTTAGAATCAGAAAAGGAAAAAAAACATAGGATTATAAAATAGGAAAAAAGTTCATGCGGCATAAACAATAATTTACACTGACAGTGGACCTGGCAACATAATTACAAACATGTATGCATATGGTTGACAAATTTTTGTGGTTGGTTTAATTGTTAGAGGGTCGATTATAATTTTAACAAAATAAAATATATATTTATTGGCAATTTTGTGTGTCTTTAATTGTTAGATGGGTTGATTAGTTATACATTTTTAACAAAAATAGATATTTGTTGACATATTTTGTGTGTCATACAATTTTAAATAAAAATACATAGTTTATGTTATAAAATGCCGTACTTTGTTTATGTTATTGTATTGAATATAACTTTTTAATTTGATAATATGTATTTTTATTGAAAAAAAATATGGTGAATGTTTAGACTTATTGCTTAGGTGTTAGGTCTTCACACGAGGACTTGTGTACCTGTTTTTTGAATTCTTGACTGTATATCTTATCGATTTCTTTTCAAGGTTAATAAATATAGTTAGATTATATACTTATAAATAAATTATGTTTTTAATGTATTATTTCATTTACTGTAGAATGCTTCAACTTAGTTAGCTCATATTTATAATGTTGTTCTCATGTCGTCAAAATAGATCTATTGCAAACTATTGGATAAATGAAAACTGAATGAGGTTGTAGTCATACTCATAAACATCTTTATATTCATTCATGAACAAATGCACTTATTACAACTCACATAAACTAGTGCGAGTGACTGAGCAGCTAAACACAAGAAGATTTTGGAATGGGCTCAGTTGATTTTAAAGTCTGGTGGGCCTGATCCAATATAAGTTCAGGCCTCATGATGCGTCTACTGGATCCTAGCTGAGGTAGAGTTGTCAAAATAGCCCGCGGGCCTGCCAGCCCCGCCTCGCAAAAGGGGCGAGTTGGACCTGATTTTTTTAGACCCGTTTGAGAGCGGGCCGCGGGCTAGGGTAGGGCTAGGGCGGGCTAGCCCGTGGGCCAGCCAGCTGAATTAAAAAAAAATTTTGAATATATATGTTATAACTTACATGTATATGTCGCACAAATTTTTCCAGTAACAAAATCAGATCCAGTAACCGTCAAGCCCGCCCGCCCACCTTAAAAATCAGAAAAGGAAAACACTACAAATCGAATTCCATCCCGTCCGCCCACCTCCGACCACCGCCTTCAACCTTCGCCTTCGAGTCTCCAACTTCCGCCTCCACTTCGATCCACATATTCGGCTGGTGATTTTCCGATTGAAGCTCGAAGGCGCCGGAATAAAAAAAAAAAGTGTGTTTTGATTTTCAATGTTTCTTGTGTTATCTTCCTCGATGGTATGTCAGTGCCAGAGACTGATGTTAGATTAGTTGTGAACTTGTTGCTGAAGTTCTGAATTTGTTTAGGAAATTATTGTTGAATTTGTTTTTCAAATTATTGTTCGAACTAGTACAATACCCATGTATTACACGGATGTTGAATTAGAAAGCTTTTGCAAAAAATATTAAATTTTTTATTTTTTTAAAAATTAAAATAATTTATTTTTATATAAAACATTACATTGAGTTTTAATTAAATTGCCAAATTATATTTTTTTAATCATAATAATTAAACACCCGTACATTAAATGAAAATGTCAACCCGTGTCGAATTTTTTACTTATATCATATAAAAATATCGATATTATTTATTATTACATAAGTACAAAAATATATATCTTAAATATATAGAAATAATATGGTGATATGTATATGCATAACTGTAGGATATGTTTATTTAATATTAACCAAAATAGAATATTTTTTTACTTAATTAGATGCATAATACATCAAGTGTCGTATCAGTCGTGCTTCACAATTTTTTAACTTTGTACGTAATTTTAGAATTTAGATAAATAATATTTATTTTTATTAGATTAACAACATACTAATTAGATTTGAAATAAATATCATTTTTAAAAGAATACATACCAATTTCTATTACTTTATAATATAATTTATAGTTTTATTTGATATAATTTAATTTAGTTTGATAAATAAATTTAAATTTTATTTATAAGGATATATATTATTGCTTTGTATTTTATATATATAATATGGATGTCAAATCGAAAATCCTTAAAAGATAGTTAATTTGATATATCATATATGAAAAATAAAATACAAACAAAAAAGTTAAAAATCTTAAAATAAGAAGAAGAAACATTTATAAAAACTAATGAATGAATTATATAAGAAAATAAAATGTGATGTATGTAATGTAGGAAAATGAAACATAAAATATTTATGGTAACTAATTGTAGAAGTAAAGAAAGAAAAAATCAATCATGGATTTAGTGTAATAAAAAATATTAATTTATTTCAAAGCCTAACTCCAAAACATGATTTTTAGCTAAATAGGATTACGAAGCATGATAATTGCCACGTAAGCTCAGCGCATTCTGAAATTATATAAAGAGGGGATATGTGAATTTGTAATTGATGTAATTGCTTGGAACATCTTTCTTTGAACATTCGCACTGATCACACACAAAGTGGATCTCCTTGTATTTGATTGTAAAATATATTTAAAAAACAAAAAATACATCAATTAAGTTGAAGTATTCTACAGTAGATCCACTTTGGGCGGGTTGGGCCAGCATTTATCAGACTCACCAGGATGGCGGCCAGTTGGCGGGCTGCGGGTTTGACAGCTCTAGTCTGAGGTCTAAAATTAGGCAAATCTGGTGGGTCAGGTCATGTATAATGAAAAAGCCTAAATAGGCTTAAAGCCCATGAAAAGACTTGAAAGAATGTAAACGAGGTGAAACTTAAAAGAAAAGATTGGACCGTAAAGTAAAACATGTATAGAGGTGTAAACGAGCTGAACGAAAGTCGGACTTCTGATACTCAACTAGACTCGTAAACCAAATGAGTCTATAAACAAGCTCGAGTTTAGCTCGTCTATCAATATCAATGAGTCAAGTTAAGGTAAAAATTATATATATATATATATAAAAAGACAAAACCCCCTATTCTTGAGCCTTATCATTAACTAAACACAAGCTTTCATTAACTAAACACAAGCTTTCATTAACTAAACAAGCCCGTGCTATGCTCGCTTGATAAGTCAAACTTAAGCCTTAACAAATCAAGTTGAGTCAAACTCAAGTTCCGCTTGTTAAGTTTAACAACTCTAAGCATTAAGGCACTCAATAAAGCTCTCTGAAGCCCGAAATATCCAATGGTGCCTAAAAAAAAGAAAATGAAGCATTAAACAGAAAATAAATAAATAACAATGATAAAATAAATAGTGAAGGCAAGGGGAAGATCACCCGATACACCTATGAATTATGGTCACAGTGAGACTCAATATAATCATTACTAGTCATACAAATGGAAAAACTAACTTTGAAAATACAAGTTTAAAATAAAAATACACACTACCAATAAGAATAACAATCGATCCTTTACAGTAGGAAGTGTCACAGCAAAAAAGCTCGAGAAATGGACCTCAGGACTTAACAGAATAAAGGTTCATGAAAAAAAGAAGAGTTGTAAACTATACATACAAACAGGTGTTGTAAAAAGAGAACGAGGTGCAAATTTTCTATCCTTCAGATAAGAAATTCTATAAAAAAAGAAAGAGGTGTAAATAGTAAATACTCAATCTTCTTCTGATTCTGAATCTGAAGTCTGCACTTCTTCCTGAGGACCTTCGATTACGGAACCATTTCCTCGCCTTTGCCTTGGGTGGATGATTTCTTGAACCGCATTATTAGCTATATAACAAGAAAAAAGATATCAATAGGTGCAATCTCACATTCTAATCTTAAGCAATATAGTAGTTAGGATTGTCATTATTGTTTGTTACTTATTATTACGATCTATCGAAATTACAAATACATCTTGAGGTATCACATTCACAAATAGCAAGTATCAATGATATAAGTGTAATTAGTTGTGAACAATAGTAGATAAGATTTTTTGGTTTTGTTTGGTTAATTTTGAAAAAGGTTTCAAAGGTTGTATGGTTAGTTGTTAGTGGATATATTAAAATAATATTTAAAATAAAATAATTAAAGTTGATTTGATGTAAAAGTAGGAGAGAGATGATATGAAGTGATGGTTAATTAAAATTATGTGAGTTGATGAATAGTGAATTAAAGTTGATGTGGTGTGTAAGAATGATTGATTGATATTATTTAATTATATTGATAATATTGATGATAGTGGAATTGAGTTAAAACTGAGTTAAAAAAAAAATGGTTGGGTTAAAAATGTTTGAATTTTTTGGAGAATTTTTTAGCTAAGCATCCTCAAATTATTCTAAGTAGACTCGACTTCAGAAGTTCTGTTCTTTATCTTTTCATATCCTAAATAAAATGCAAAATGATCAAACAAGAACAGGCACCTGAGGAAAAAATCTTTAGAAGGAGCTTCTTTGCAATCAGGAATTCTGTTTCATGGTTACTGACGAATTTCATCTATGGGAGCAGAAAATGCAATATGGTTATTAAACTAGAAAATCATTCAACATATTGATAAGGATAATAGAGGATAATTACCATTTCACCATAAAAGAGATCCATGAGTTGATCAAATCTTGCCTGATGCCTAAAGAAGAAGGGACGCAAGTAATTCACATAAAGGTGCTTTGCCCCCTGCAAAACAGGACAGCCTTAAACATATAACAAAATAATACTAAACACAGGATAAATTCAGAAGAATCGGTACTATATATAAAACTCTCATTTATTCTCGCATCATCCAGAATATCAATGCAAGATGGTGGACATCAGTAATTGGTTTTGACTCTTGATTTAACAGTCAAAAATCATAATAATGTTGAATAAAATGCTTCAAGGTGGAGCCCCATAGCCTACAATCTACATGTCCTCTACTGCACAGAACACTTTAGCAGTCTAGAAAATTAGCTCAGAAGTTTAATACAATTTGTTAGCAGTGATTTATCCTCTAATATGGCTCAAATCGGAAAATGGTGAAAAATAAGGTTTATAGATGATATGCTTCAAATAATAAGTTTGGCAAAACTGGATATAAGAAGAGAGATCGATAGCTTACGTCAACAGATGGCAGTTGCATCCACACAAGAAATGCAAACTTCATATGATAGTAGAGAGGACACCTGATAAGATAAAACAATGCACAAATTTATTTCCTATTTAAATAGTAAAAACTAAACCAATCTATGAACAACTAAATAGGCTTATTTCAGAAATTCAATAGTCGATCCAAGTTGTCATTACTTATTTTTACTTACCTTTTGGCTTTACTATTAAAAATCAGAGTGGATTGAGAAGTTAGGTTCAAAATTAAAATAGTACCAGTAGAGGATCTTATCGGTGAACAACTCAGCAACACTAAATGATCCATAAGCTGCAAGCACAAACCCAGATAAGGACAATACATACGATACAATCTACTAAATAAATGATAAAAAAATATCCAAATTCGTTTCTGTATACCACTTATGAACACCGTATACCTCCACTCTGCAAATTCCAACATAACCTTTGTCCTTTCAAAAGATGATTTTAACTAGAGATTGTGAATATACAGTAATTAAAAAGCTACAGAAGGCTTTCGAAAGCATCACTCACCAGCCCAATACAAAAGCCATTTATGTTGCTCATTTTCATCCTTTGCTTCAATGGCCTTGAACGTAGAATAAACAGGCAAGACAGTCCCCACAGAACAACTTCCAAAAAATAACAATAACAGAACATATGAATAACAAGAACATAGTATCAGATATTAATTATCCACCCAAAAAGAGATTAACAAAAACTCACCATGCTGTACGGACAACCACATTAGAACCAAGGGGGTAAAAAAGCAATCTCAACCCTACCTGCAAGAGCTAATGCATAAAAATTCACATGTTCCACATAACAAGATATGCAAACAACTTCTATTGACAAGCAATAGTGCAGAAAAATAATCGAGCATAACCATCAATTGTGTATTGACAAACCTAAAAAAGCTGGTTCATATTAAACTGAAAAATAATCGAGCATAACCATCAATTCTATAGGCATCCATGGGTTTCAATATACCATTAATCACCATAACCACGCATACAGAAATTCAATCAACTGTACTTGGTTCATATTAAACTGAAAATCGCACAGTATAGCTGCAAATTCCTTTCGCTTCGAGCTACCATCACGACCTAAACACGAACTAAATGAATTTCTCAATTTCAGGTAATCGCCGATGACCGAAAGAGAGGGAAATCATGACCATACCTCGCAGGGCAAGTTGGATCCAAACAGAGCCATTAATGGCGGACACAAATCGCTAACAAAATTTCGATTCGCTTAGCAGTCGTCAAGCTCACGAAAAGCAAAAACAGTAGAAGATATTTGCAGCACTGTTGGTAAGATTTATCTCTTGATAACAAATTATAAGAAGAATTCTCAAATTTACCAGCAAAAGTGGTGTGACGAGTTGCAAATTCAATGTTAGACTTAGCCAAAAATTGGTCCTAATATTTTCTTTTTATTATTGATTATGAAACGATTTTCACAATTTTACTTTTCCAAAGTATATATCTTCATGTGAATTATCTATTGTTTTTAAAAGTTATAAATATTTTAAATTTTTTAAAATTATTTATTCATATAATTAAAATTTAGTGATAGTGTTTATCTACAACGTAATTATTATACCAAGTCTCTATAATTGAAATAAGAGTCGATGGCAAAAAAATTAAGAACCAAGCAAGAAAATATATTTTATATTTCTTAAAAAAAGTAGATAATATATAGATACAAATTACTTACATAAAATAAATATACTCAAAATATTTTACATTATATAATCATAATAAACATTATCTTATATTTTTATTGTATTTAAATTTACAACCATTAATAGTTAAATATTTAGTTTGATCCAACATTCAAAGGACCCTAGCAACTGCCCGTGCGATAATCCACAGCATAAGCATAACTCNTAAAAAAAAAAGGAAAAAAAAAAAAGAAACAACATTGCCTATACTTTTCCCGACGGGTTTAATCTCATTTGCCTCGAGAAATGAATTCCACCGCCGTGGTTCGCGCCACCGCGGCGCTGCAGCTCCCGACCCCGCGTTCCCACCCCGCCGGAACTAGCTGCACGGCCTCCTCAGTCGCCGAGAATCTGGCGATAGACTGCCGGAATCTCAGCTACTCTGTTCAGACCCGGCAAGGAAAGCTCGTTCCGATTCTCAAAGACTGCTCGCTCAGCATCCCCACCGGACAGTTCTGGATGCTGCTCGGCCCCAACGGCTGCGGAAAATCTACCCTCCTGAAGGTTAGGCACACTTTGGAAATTTAGTCATTATCATCAGCTATTTGAGGCAATTCTGCCAACATATTTCTGTGTTTTACAATTGATTGCTTTGTTTAGTGTTCCCTTTTCTATGATTTTGATATATTGAAGCTGCTGGATGATAATTGTTGTAGTTGACGGGATTCCATTTAAATCTGTATCCTTATTCCACGAGCCTTGTCTTATGGATCTAAGTTGTCATTATTGTGCAGATTTTGGGTGGCTTCTTGAATCCAAGTGGTGGATATTTGCGTGTGAAGAAGCCGAGGAGTTTTGTGTTTCAGAACCCTGATCATCAGGTTAGTTAATGGAGAATTTCAGTAATGTGAAAGTTGTATATGCATTGAAAAAGGTCATTTAAGGACTGCTGCTACTGAAAAAGCTGATAGAGATTATTTTGATTTTTTTAGTGTACGCGAGCATCCTCTCTTCAAAAATTGCTAAACTTGTAACTAATATTCAGACAGACTTCCAAATTGATAGAGGTCTAATGGTTTTCTCATGAATGTATTGCGTGTTCTTTAGTGTCAGTCTTGAGTAACCTGATTATTCGGTTAATAATAGCCAAGTCTATGAACCTCAGAGTTGATCATTTTACCTCTTTGTTTTGTTGCAGAAGTCGGCAAAGCATACTAACTAATTATGATCTAAATTAGATTATATTCAAAAAGTTCATTGGGTGGCTTATGTGATGAGTCAAAGAGTTCCACAATTTGTGACAATGAGAACTTGTGAGGAATAATTGGTGTGTTAACAAAGGAGTAATGAAGAGGATAATACAAAATATGTTCTCAATGAGGAACTTCTGTGGATTTATGGAAAAATATATACTTGTATGCATGGAAAGTGATTTGAAATTGCGTCAGAAGGAAATGGAAGATGATCATACGATAGACAAATCGAGCTGATAAAAATGGATTTGGAAAATAAAATGCTCTAGTGCTTTTAGTTACAGTTCCAAGTTCCAATCATATTCTTTCTAGCAAAGTATAAATAGATTTTAGTTGACTGTAGTTGACCTGTGGCAATTCATATAAGTTGTGTTTACTAGTACAACTTGTGAAAGAAAATTGTCTTTCAGGGTAGTAAACGTTTTTTGGTGACTTCAATTTATTATCTTCAGGTTGTTATGCCCACGGTGGAGGCAGATGTGGAATTTGGCCTTGGCAAACTCAATTTAACAAAAGATGAGGTTACTTCTCGAGTGGCTAAAGCATTGGAAGCTGTAGGGATGTATGAATATTTACAAGTACGTCAAGATACTAAAGATATTTAACCTCCATCCTGAATTACATGATTTTCTCATGATTAACCACAATATTTGACTTCTCTAGAGACCAATTCAAACTCTTAGTGGTGGTCAGAAACAAAGGGTCGCCATAGCTGGGGCGCTAGCAGAAGCATGCCAATTATTGTTACTAGATGAACTTACATCATTTTTGGATGAAAATGATCAGGTACTTATCGTTAATAGTTAACACAATCAATGATATTTAAACTTCCAACTGAGAGAAATAAATTTAGTCGTAAATACCAAATATATGATACCTTTCGAGTTTAAAGCATCTCATTCTGTGCTCGTTGTGGATTCTGGATCTCTTCAACATTAGCCACGATTATATGAGACTTTCAAAATCGAAAAATAATTCTATCGCAGTTATTTGTTGGTCTTATTCTATCAAGGGCACAAATAGGCGTCAGTATATTTCTCTTCCCCATCGAAGGGAATTTCTGATTCGAGGTGCATCTGAATTGAGGTTATTTTTCCTTTTGCGGTTAGGTCGGGGTTTTACGAGCTGTTAAAAGCTCTCTGGCCAGTTCCTCTGGAGCCACAGCACTATGGGTTACCCATCGTCTGGAAGAACTTGAATATGCAGATGGTGCTGTCTACATGGATGACGGCAAGGTTGTTTTGCAAGGAGATGCTTCAACCATATTGAAATTTGTTGAGGCTCAGCAAACGTCTTATTTGAACCAAATCAATATGTAAAAATCACCTTTATTTCTTGAATTAATCGATTTCATGCTGGGAGTATTTGGTTCTGGCTTCTACGGATATCTTTAGCTCTGTCGTTCATTAACTAGTGATTTACCGTTATCTTTTAATGTTTCTACACTTGTCATTACTTGAATCCTTGAAGTGCAGATTACGGTACTCCTGTGTGGGCATAAAGAAGGAAAATTTTGACGAGCCTTTTGGTTGTGTTCAAAAGCAGCTGTGATTCGTGGTGCTTCTCTGATATTATCTGACCGTTTTGGTCAAAAAGTGTTGAGTTGGTTTCTTGTGCTCTGGTATGCTTTCTCTCTCTCTCTCTCTCTCCCCAAGTATGGTCTGTCTACATCTTGTTTTGAAAAAGACTGCCCTTTATAGGTAGGATGAAATTTCCTCACTTTCACCTTGCTTAATGTCAAGTCACACCAACTACTAGTTCAAGGCATGCATCTGCCTTAGCCCCTAATCAATTACACTCATGCATTTCTTTTTTAATATCGAATATTAAGACTTAAAATACGACCAACTTTTCAGGTTCTTCCTGCAACAAACTTAAAAACTTATCGACTTTCACTTCAACAAAAGCTAACACAGCTTTCCGATCCCAAGCATGGAAACCATGCATTTCAAATCTTCACACATTAGTCATTATCTAATTATTATTTATTTTCCCCCAACACCGATCCCCCCATCGAATTCATCTTCTCTTCATACTATTCTACTCCCCCCGAGTTATATGAGTAATAAACGATTCCATCTCCTCGTGGCCTACTCCACCTTCTTTCACATAACTCCTCAAACTAACTCCCAATTCCTTTGCCCTCTCCCTAATCTCATCTCCTTCTCCCGAACCCATCAACCTCCCTACCGCCTCGGCCACCACACCCGAAGGCACCACAATGGGCCCACATGTCCTCTCCCTAACCTCTATCCCGACTTTCAACACCTTGGTCAACAAAACCGCGTTGACCAGCTGGTCCGAGTGCACCGGCCACGCGGCCACCGGCACCCCCATGCTCATGCTCTCCACACACGAATTCCATCCGCAGTGGCTCAGAAACCCGCCCGTCCCTCGATTCGCGAGGATCTCCAGCTGTGGGGCCCACTCCCGAACGACCATCCCTCTCCCCTTCACCCTCTCCTCGAACCCCTCGGGTAAAACCGGCTCTCGAATCTCGCCCCTAAAGATGTCTCCCTTGTCCGCGTCCCTCAAAGCCCAAACAAACTTGTGCCGGCTTCTCTCGAGCCCTATCGCGATCTCCTCGATTTGCTCGTCCGTAAAACAAGACGTCGTCCCGAACGAGACGAACATCACCGAATCCGGTTCCTGCCTGTCGAGCCAATCGAGGCATCCGCTCGGCCGCCTTTCGGTTGTATCGATTTCGACCGGGTTAAACGGGCCGAGAGCCCACTGCTTCTGCGCCGCCAGTGAGTCCAAGAACGGGCCCTCTAAGGCCCGACTCGTATTGTAAATATTCCCCAATACACTTTCCTTTGAGTTGCTCCGCAACTCGGAAGGCATGTTTGGGAAAAGAGTTTCGGTTCCCGGGATTTCCCTCAGGATCGACTCGATTTCTTCTCCCAGCAGGTTGGACCTTCTTCTTCTTCTTCCACTGGCGTGCCAGTCGAGAAAGTAGACCATGAGAGCGGATATACTCCAAAACCGGTAAGACTCGGCATTGGGTATACGGTCCACGTCCTTCACGACATAGGGCATTGAGGAGTCGTACACGATGACGACCCTCTCGTGTTTTTGGGAAAGATTTTCGACTAACGCGTGAACCGGGCCCCGCAGAGAGGTGGCCGTTGCGGAAGCCGAGGGGTAAATGTGCTCGGGAAATTGGGCCGACGAGTGCGGGTTGGGCTGAGGGTTTTCGAACAATGGGGTGGGGAACTCGTGGAAAGTGATACCGTGGGCTCGGATGCCGTGGGCCCGGAGCTTGGCCTGGCGGATGTGAGTGGTGGTGCCGACGTAGTGTATGGGGAGGTTGGCGGCGGAGGCGAGGCGGCGGGAGAGGTGGAGGAGCTGGTTCAGGTGGCCTTGGGCCGGCAGCGGGACCATCACAACTGCCACGTTGGAATTTTCAAGGGAAGAGTTTTCGCTGGCCAT